GTTGATGGATGATAGCACATGCCGCTTCCTCAATTTAGTTGCAGTGGAGCCGTCTTCGCATGAGGTTCTTGCTGCTTCATGCATAAATTTGCCTCGAGCAGACGGGAACTCTGATTGTGAGACCTTCGCTGCCTGCCGTCCCAAGTCGAGGAGGTTTGCCGGGACGCCGGATGAGATCCCCCAGAGTTTCCCATCTTGCCATTTTAAGCGAGCTGCTTGCTTCGCTCAGAGGATCGACAGTTCACATGCGGAACGGGTTCCTTGCCCGACGCCAGCCAAGGAACGGGGATCGATGTGTTGCCTGCTAGATCTCCATCGACATATGGGAAACGTGCCGGCAGGGTTGGCGGTGCTTCTCGTGTTGTCATCGGCAATTGGAGCCGGCTTATTGGCTGCGAGGTGACGGGCTGGATCGACGGAATCTCCAGATGGTGCGACGGGATCGTCTTTGGGCTGTGCGGGCGGGATTGGACCGGATAGACAACGTGGACATTGCTCGTTCGATCCCGCTTTAACTCCAGGTTGCGCAGAAGCGTTTGCTTCTTGTGAGGTTTCGCAGACACTCGGAGCCAGTTGCTGCCACGCACGGCCTCACTTCCCGCAAGTCTACTCATTTCAATAAAGGTCACGGATGAATGTGTCGGCTAGAAAAAGGACGGCATCGATCCTCCCCTGCATGTCAGTCAGGCCGTCCCAGCTTTGTTACTCGTTGTCTTTCTTTGCAAAATAGTTCTGTGTATTATTGTCAGTACCAAGCCATTCGACGGTCACGTTGCGAGGAAAACGATGGAGCCATGCCCAAAAAAAGTGTTCTTCTTCCATTAAGACTGCTGTACGAACACGAACCAGGGCTGGTTCGGTAAAGGACGCAATGCGTATCTACGTAGGGCATCGTGTCATGATGCGTTCTGTGTGATCTTGTCGTTCAATGTGATTCCACACGCAAAATCCTTGCTGGTATCTCGCAAGATGTGGTTTACTTCTTCACTATGGCCCCATCAAGCGGGAAGGAACTGGGGAACTGGAAGAGGGCCCGACTTGGGCGAAAAGGGTATCTCGAAACGAAACGGCTGCGCTGGCATACGCAAATGTCATCAGAATCTCTGGGATGACTTTCGCTTGCCGGACCTTTGTGCCGTCGGGCAGTCTGCCACCTTGTGGCCCGCCTTGCCACAGTTGTGGCATTTCATGTTCAGAGGCATTGTAGACGATCTGCTAGCTCCAGAAATGCCGCCACCCGGGCTGCCTGTGAAGTTGTTGGAGATACCCGACAACTGGTTCAACTTCACTTCCTTCTTTCTTCTTTTGTCCCGGAACTCTTGAGCCTTGACGGACTCTGACGACTTCTTCGGCTTGAGGTTTACTCTTGTGCGTCCTTGGCCGCCGGATGACAGACCCTTGACAGGATGGGATTTCGATTTGGCTGGCGTTTCTTCGTCGCCCGAGGTTGAGTCGTCGTCGCTGGATTCGTCGGATTCGCTAGAGCCGCTCGAGTCGCTGTCGTCCTTGGAAGTGGCTGCAGCAGTAGGCTTCTGTACATGGATTAGCTGCTGTACCTCAACGCCATTCCTCGTCCATACCTTTGCGTTATTGCTCTTGGCGTTTCCAATCTTCTTTCGTCCGACCTGCTGGATGGTTTCCTCGTTGTCGTCTTCGTCGGGTCCGTCAATGTCGGCGTATCCAACGTACACAATGTTCGGCGGCGCGCTTTCCGCATTGTCTGATTTTCCCCATTTTCCGTCCAGCACCCAGTGCGTGTCCGCCATTTCAGCTCTGGACGCCTCCAGGGCGGCCAACCGTTTGGCGTCTTGTTGCTTCAGCGCTGCCTGAACAGCCGCCTGGTCGAAGGAGTGGAAGTCTCCTGTGAGAGGAGAGTTCTGGAACTTGCGCCTCTTTGAAGAAGGCTCGTCGGGAGATGATTCCGCTGGAGATCCGTTCGCAGCAGCTCTCTGCATGAACTTCATCGTCAACAAGCGAGAGGAGATTCCTCTGCTTGGAGGCGTTTCCGGCGCCAAGTTCTTCGACATTGTGGATGATGCTGGTGTTGTTCACGTATCTGCGGTTAGTAACGGATCGCGCGGGATCATTCGTGCGCTTTGAGAGCGGTCACGGGCAGGTGAATTTGTCGATGGATGGTTTGCGGGGTTGGAGGATATGAGGCGCGTCAAGATGTTGATTGAGATGGACCAAAAATCTGGAAATTCTGCCGTTAGGAGACAAGAAATGGTGGTCACCGCCTGCGCTAAACGGGGTCGCAGGGGCATTCGGGGTCCGTGCGCGTCTAGGGAGCGGGAAGCGGCTTCCCTCCGACCAACGGGCCAAGACATGCATTCATGTCACCTCATTCAACTGCCACCGACACCACCAAACGCCTGATACAATGTACTGCCTACATCTTCACTCGTGGACAAGCTCTTTGCCATCTACAATGTCTCTATATCTTGGAAAGCTGAGTTGAACGGTCCCCGCATAGCTTTTCCAACCGCTCAAAGCTCATCTCGAAGCACTCTGGCAATCCCGTGTCCTCCCAGCTTCCACCAAGGACCATCTTCACCAACCCTGGCGCACAGGTGAAAATTCGCGCCATGCCTACTCTCTCGTCAGAACCGATTATCGCGTCAATGATGGAGGGGACTTACCGTGCCCGTTGAACCCGGCGCACACCCACTGACCCGGGTATCCGTCGACCTTTCCGACGAACGGCACCATATCGGGGGTCATGCCAATGATACCCGTCCAGGCGTGAAGTAGTCCCTCACCCCGACTCAGTTTCTCCGGCCAGCATTCTGCAAAACACCGCTGGAAGTTTGCCACCGAGTCATCACGAATCTCCTCGCTGATGGCCTGGTCGTTGGATGTTCGCTTAGCTGTGTATGCTGCTTCGCTTACGAAGGGACTCGCTGCAGCCGCACCCAAGATGATGATTCCATCCGCACGACGTTGGTTGACCGAATAGAAGTGCCGAAGCCCGTGCCTCAGTGATACCGTACTCGGTAGGATCTTGCTACCGGTGAGTGCCGCTGGTGGTACGAAAGCATGAGCCTGGGCGCCTTCCGGCGCGACAAAGGCAGCGAGCTGTGGCAGCAAATGCGACGCGAACGCATTGGTGCAATGAATCACAGTGGGAGTTGTGATGGTGCCGCGGGGCGTCTGCACGTCCCAATTTGGTTCACTTCCGTTGGACTGCGATTCGGCCACGGCTATGGCCGGACAATGAGTGAAGAATCGTACACCACTCTCGATGCTCTTCGTCAGCAGCCATTGCGCGAGTTTGGCAGGATGGCTAGACCCCGCCGGCCATTCGTATGCGCACAGGGCGCCGTGGACACCCGTCTTCTCCCTTGCTTCCTCGCCAGTATAGAACTTGATGTGTGATACATCACCACCAGCTTCCCGGTACTCCTTTAGGCTCTGGGCGTTGTGTTCGACAAACTCCTGTGTCAAGCAGACGTCGAAGGTGGTTGTGGGGTTGAAATCGCACTGCACGCCGTGCTCTTTCACGAACTCGTCGATGGCGTGAAAGACGGCCCTCTCGTTGGCGATGACCTTTAACGCTTGCTCTTCGCCGTGGAGCTTCTTATAAGTCGTGAAGCCGCGGAATGCGTCCGGCCTGACATGGCCTGCGTTGCGAGAGCTGGCGCCGCTGGCCGCTTCCCGAGCCTCGAGGATCACAATATCCGAGCCCGATACGCCGCCCTCGACGAGTTTGTAGGCAGTCAAGGCACCCGAAATCCCGGAACCTATGACAACGTACCTGGAAGTTTTCGGCACGGGCTGCTGGTCATTGTGGTTCAGGTAGGGGAACGATCTGGTCGTCTGCTGCCAGAACGAGATGCAGGGGTCTGGGACGGGGAGGCCTGTCATTGTGGTGCGGCTGGTTCTCTGTGCTTTGGTGTTTGGGCTTTCTTCAGCTATTGAGCAGAACCTAGGACATACTTTAAATCATTGCTGCGACGCGGATCTCGAACTCTAGTCGCCAGTCAGCGGCCATCTTCCGCCATCGCAGCCGCAAGCGGGATATGCCGACTCTTTTCTTCACTCAGCAAACGGATTGATAAGACAAGGTACATCTTGACAGTTGCGAACCGAACCCCAGGATGAGGGATAATACAGTCCACCGGGATTGTGAGAGTCAACCCCGAAAGTCGGAGGGTTTGCCGCTTGTTGAGCGGCAAACGCCGCCCCTCGCCAATATGCAACACTGAGAACCGTCAACTCGTTTCCCCGTATCCACCGCGGAAGCTAACGCGTCAAATCCGACTGTAAAAGGCAGAAGACATGTCTAATTTGCCCAAAGAGTCAGCACAAGCGCCTCACATGACCTTATCGACGAATCGTACGGGGCATGCATTGTCGGAGGGCCCGCCGACTCGTGAGCGGCGTTGGCCGCCCCAATGAGGGGGCGGGCCTGTGCTCTCTCCATGCTACGCGCAATGCAACTCTGCTCTTAACCGGAAGTTGCAACCTCCACATGATCAACGCGTGGTAGTGATTACCCATTGATAACGGTACCGGGACGTTGGCCGGGGGGTTCTTCTCAAGATAGGAAGAGCCTTGGAAACGATGCGGTCAAAGATTGCTTGCAGCCTATCTTACTTTATCTAATTACTCTCAGCACCGGTTTGCGGGGGAAACATGTATAATAGGATGGCAACGCCTTGAATCAGTTTTGTCGTGAACCAACAATTGCTCTGTCTCTTCCTGCACTCCGCGGCCAGCCCCTCATTCTACCGGAACGGAAATGGGCCTGTTCAACCTCGGCAATCTTGCCTTTGCGGCGCGCCATGAGCGAACACCGGAGGAGGCAAAACTCGTGAGACGTTTAGATATCTTTTTGATGACTTTCGGGTGCATTTCGCAAGGTCAGCCCTAAGGTCTATTTTGCGCCTTGGATTGAACTAACAAGAGTTGCAGTCATCAAGTGTTAGTTGCGATCGATTCAATTCAACTGAAGGCTACTAACACAATCCGCCAAGACCTGGACCAAACCAACATCAGCAATGCGTACGTTTCTGGCATGAAGGAGGACCTCAACCTCCAGGGAAATGAGTACAACTAGTGAGTTTCGCACTTGCGAACTTGGACTGCAACATCATGACTGACAGGCAACTCAAGCTTCACGACCTACTTCAACGTCGCATATTGCATCATGCTCATCCCCTCGCAAGTCATCCTGACCTACGTGCGCCCGAGCTACTGGCTCTCCGGTCTTGAAGTCTGCTGGGGAATCATCACAGGCATGTTTGCCCTCGTCAAGAACGCCCAGCAGGTTTACGTCCTCCGCGTTCTGCTCGGGCTCTGCGAGAGTTCCGCGTGGCCTGGCATGATGACGTTGCTGATGCATTGGTACACGCCGTCTGAGCTGGCCAAGCGCATGGGGTTCTACCACTCGTGCCAAGCTGTCGGGTCAATGATGTCGGGAGCGTTGCAAGTGGCCATCAGAAGCTCCATGCATGGACTACATGGTAAGTGCATCCTGCTTGTGGGATAGCTTCGGTCGAGACTGACGCCGAATCTAGGCCTCCCCGGTTGGCGCTGGCTCTTTGTTGTCAACGCCATCATGACCGTTGTTGTTGGTGCCATGGGCTTCTTCCTATTGCCCGACACGCCAAACAACCCAAACCCTCGCGCATTCTGGTTCAAGAAGGGCCACGCTCAGCTCGCCATGGAGCGACTGGAGCGCCACGGAAAGGCTGAGCCCAAGAAGATGACCTGGGCCGCCACGAGGTATGTGTTGTAAGCAGTCGTCAGGGGAAATGACTAACGGTCTGAAGACGCGCATTCAAGAGCTGGGTCATCTACTTCCTGCCCGTGCTCTATATCGCGACGGTTCTCGAGACGTACGGCAACAACTACTTCAACTTGTTCCTCAAGAGCTTGAAGAACGCGGACGGCAGTGCCAGGTGGTCGACTGACCAGGTGAACGCCATTCCCATCGGTGGTAGTGCGATCAACGTTGTCTTCGGTCAGTGTGGTCTCTCAACCTCGTCCGGGCCTTGGAGCTAACAGAGTCATAGTCTGGGTTTGGGCTATTCTGTCCGACCTCCTGATGACGAGATGGACTCTAATCGTCGTCCAAGGTAAGCACCATCTGAGTGTCTTTGCGAGCAACATACTAACAATGGACTAGCTGTCATTGGCCTTGCTGTCTGCATTGCCATGAGTGTATGGTCAGCACACCCAACGACGACGCCCATCGGAACCGCCTACGCAAGCTACTTCATCACTTTTACGGCCATGGGCACAGCTCCTCTCATCTTCGCGTGGCTGGCCGATCTCTTGCCTCAAGACCCCGAGGCGAGAACGCTGATTGTTGGTGTGTCCATTGCCGGCTACTACGCCATCTCTGCTTGGTCCCAGGTGCTCGTCTGGCCTGCTACTCAGGCTCCTTATTGTAAGTCTGGAAGGTTCTAATCTACAATTCACTCGCTGACGCTCCACAGACAAGTATGCTTGGCAGTCATCCGTAGCCATTGGAGTTCTCGTCATCATCATGACTTGCGTGCTTCGGTACATTGATGTCAAGTACCTCTTGTAAGACCCTGTCTCTTCTGCAACATTGAAAACAGTTTCTGACACACATGACAGGCCGAAGCGAGAGGCGTATCGTAACACGATCATTGAGGCTACCGATGCGGATGACGTTGAGAGGGTCGACTCTACTGGTGGTGTAGACAGAAAGGTCAAGTCGGCAGCAATGGTGCCGGAAGTATGAATGTGGACAAATCTTAGCGAGGGCCATCTATCAATAGTTTCATCTCTGATGATGCTTTGAGAAAAGGATAGAGAACACAACACTCCTTTTGCTGCTCACGTCTTTCTACCTAGAGCTTTGAATAGATCGCCATCGCGCTATAATCTCACGACAGTAGTTCATCTGTACATTTCATGGGTCCCGAAAGCGGCACTCACTACTACAATGCTGGTTTCTCCTGATTGAAAGTCAAACGTCAACTGATTTGGTCAGACATGATCTCGATGCCAGTCCAGGCTTAAAGTTGCAGCAGAATGCGGGTTATTGCCAGGCAGCAGCAGATCCTTAAAGAAAGTTTCCGAAACCGCCCACATTGAAGTGATATTACCAATCGTTTCCATGTCAGAGCTCCACGGTCGCCATCCGTCATCGTTTCCTTTCCTTCGCCATCCCGCTTCCCAAATGAAAAGTTTCAGTCCCCGACCACACACAGTTCATAACAAAATGAATTCAACTCTTGATTAATTTCTTTTCAAAGCGCTTCCGCCCCCGGAATACTACTTCCTGGACGATGCCCAGGAGCCACCCTCCGAAGACAACAGGTTGAGCATGCCTTTTCTTGACCTGACTCCCAGAGAAGCCACACAAAACTCTAGAGCCCATCGTCCAAGTCATCGTTGCAGCCGGTATGGAGAAGAGGTAGGGTACGGTCTTATTACTCCCGTAGACAGTCCAGGGCCTGAACGAGAATGCCAGTAGGGATCAGAGGGTATCAACATGCGTCTGGGAGTTCCACGAGCTCTCGTCGGGCCCTGCGAGACTTTACGAAGCGCCCTCGTCAGATCCGTGTGGGACGATGTCGGGCTAGAACTCAACAGCGTCGTGAGGCCATTCAGGGCAATGCAATACATATTCCAGGATCATAACCTGTCCATACCTGGGATCGCATGTGGCTTTGCTCTTACAGGCTTTGTCTATCAGTTTTACCATGTGGTGACAGTGGAGAATGAGGTCGAAGGGAAGGAATGCCCACAGCAAAAGGGCGGCGGAGAGACCGTGGAGACCAAGCAACAGCTCCAAGGAATGAAGGAAGGGCCGGCACATGGAAACCATATGATAAATGCTGGATTTCCTGCAGAAACAAACCTCAGGCTGATGAATGAGCGCGACCTGATCGTCTCGAAACTCCATCGCACCCTTGGACCAGAGACCATCGTGCTGGCCCGCGCAATTTTGGGTTGGGGAAACGAGCAAGGCCGATCGCGAGTTAGTTGTGCATAAGTCCGCATTCTGTAGACTCGAATAGAGAGCACGTGTCAAACGTTTCCTAATGATGTAATGTATCACGCCTGACGGGCTGCTTGTGAATTCCTGCGGAGACGACAAAGCCTATGAGCAAGGATGATAGACCTCCGAGGAGAAAAAGAGCGAATCACAAGTGAGTAGCAATCGACTTGAGTTATCCTATAGACGCACGCACTAGTGGCGGCTTGAGCAACGGTCGAGACAAGATAAGCTGTCTGAATTCTCACTTGTGTCAATGACCAGTCGTTTTGTTTCAATCAAGTCAGATATGAGGAAACCACTGACGTGGCATGGCCATTTCATACCCAGGATGGCATGAAAGTCCCACTCAAGTCAGCTGTGGCTTCCCAGATCATGGATAGATCATCAAAGTCCAAAAGACTCGTAGATGATATGTCGAAGTTGGTTGGGTCAATCGTCTCCAGCGAAGCTAATCGTGTCTGTTGGACTTCGTGGGCCGCGTCAATTGCAGAGGAGGAAGCGATCAGCCCAGATTCGCCCGCAGTGACGCCGTGCGACAGTTCCATCATGACCCTCGATGAAGCAGTGTCGAAGGCATCTCGTTTGCCTTGAAATGCTGGAAAATGTTCCACCATCCCCCATAGTACGGAAGAGCATGTGTTGACAAGAGACTGGAAGGACTGGGAGCTGATCGCCTCCCTCACTTCGGCGGAGTTGGTGTACGCGAACAACAGAGTTGTCCCGGCAGAGAAAACGTTCTCCACAGACTGCCAGTAAATGGTCAATCTCTTCCGGCGGAAGAATTCCCGGTATAGATGGATCATTTTCGTGGCTGACTGGGTGGCAGCTAGTAATTGAATGCCTGATGGGTTGGGATTGTTTGGAGAGGGGCGATAAAGGCGAAACAACGCCGTGTGATGGGTCAGCTCAAAGGTTTCAATGACGGTCTTATCGAGGCTGTTCAAGCTGTCTCCCGCGGGGATGTTTCGAAGCCACTCGTCGATACGGTCGCGCATCTCTGGCTGCCAGTCGTCCATCGGGACGGGGGAATACGGAGACGATGGCTTCTCGTAGAGAACTCGCTGCATTTCGGACTGAATCTGGCGGTACCGAAAGAGATGTAGGCTGACCAGCTTGGCTCCTGACTTGTGCGCCTCACCCTGCCTAATGCCGTCTATGGTGATGAGCTCGTCGTTGACATCGCTGGGAAACTTCATTTCCATGAGCTCGAGTTACTGTAGATTGCAGGGCTGGGCTTACCTCGACGTTGATTGCGCCGTCTGAAAGACAGGACGGCATGTTGAGTGCCACCGAGATGTTGCGATCCATCGCGTATGCTACCCAGAAAGTTCGCCTTCTAGTGTCGAGTGTAAGAGCGTCCACCTCTTCGGGGGACGGATCTTGGTGCAGGCCCAGCTCCACGGCAAGACGGATAGCAGCACCGACTGTATTCCAGACTACCCATAGGGTTGGATGTAGATAGTAAAACTGCCCAACGAGAAGAAGAGCCTGAACACCTTCGACGTCGGCCGGCAGACCGGCTTCAATGAGAGCTGCGATAGCTGTTTTGTGATAGCGATCTGCTAGCCATATTGGTATTCGCGCAGGATCATTCTTGGACATTGATAGGAGCGCCGCCGCAAAGACTTCGAGCACGAAGAAAAGCGCAAGTCTCGACTCTGTAGTTTTGTGATCTTCGGCCATGTCGACCACTCGAGGCATATCGTAGATGAGATCGAGCTTCTTTCTGAAGGTGGGTTCGTGCAGCAACGGCATACCAGCACTCGTGGACTGGAAGTACTCTTTGACGAGATTCTCCGCTATCTGTCTCGTTGGCAGTGAGAGAGGGCTGGTGTCCAAATCGCCTGCCATGTCGGAGGAGTTTTGCTGCCTCTGATGACCAGGATCAGAAGCTCGACTCCTGTGCAATTGCGGTGCCAGCCGTGAGCTCATGAGTTCTCTCATGAGAATGTGAGTGAAGGAGGCTTCATGTTCGGCGCCAACTTGAATTTGGGGGACGATAGGCTGAGTTGTCACCGTCGAGGACGCGTTGATCTCAGCATGGCCTCCAGTTGGTGTATTGAAGTCTCCATTTCTTTCGTTCACCGCAGACTCCGGAAGCCTTGGCGTATGCTGAGGAGGCAACAAAGTCTCCTGGATAGGGGTTGCTCCGTCTTCATAGTCAATGCCATGTTCCCTGAGCTTCAACTCGAGATACGCAACACGATCTTCAAGGCTGTGGATGTAGCTGGATGGAAAGGTGTGAGTAGTCACACGAAAAGACGTCTTTTGGACCCAACCTTCGAGGAACCTGTCTCCTGGCTACGGCGTCGTACCCGAAACACTCGACCCCAGCAAGCTCACACAAGCGACATCTCTACGCGATCGTCAGATACCCTCACGTGTATGACTGTATTAGACATCGAAGAGGATGAAATGCATACTGGCAGCTTTTGGTCGCATCGCTTCTTTTTCTGCCAGCAGCGGATGCAGGCTGTTGTGTTTGCTCTGGCCACGGGTGCTGGCCGGCTGCTTGTCACATGAGGCTGAGAACTGCCTGCGGGAGGCATAGAGATAGTCGTCTCCGGGAGAAGCTTTGGTCAATCCACTTGATTGAACTCAGGCTCGTAGAGAGCTCCAAGTTGGAGACGGTCGGTTAGAGAAGGGACGCGTTGAACGATCCGTGCTAATGGTTGCTGATAAGATGGTGGAGCGTTTCCACCGAACACACCGAAGTGGGGCACCACTCACCTCGGCTAGCGGGGTTTATTTCTTCCCGACGAATGACAGCAGGTGTAATCAATTGCTTCAGGAACTCCAAGCTTCCCCAGAAATCGACTATCTGGTGAGCCGGAACCGCCCGACCCCTTCGAACGAAACACCCAATTGAGCCAGCACCATGTTGTCGGCATCCAGACGAGCGACGAGCGCCCTGTCGCGACAGCTCTGCGTTGCCTCGCGCCCCTTCACCGTGTCCGCGGCCGCCCGCACCACCGAGAGACCCGCCGTCGTCGAGAAGAACGAAGCCGCTACCCCCCAGACGGCCGAGACCACCGTTCCGCAAGAGGTCGGCCAGGCCCCCAACCGATCCCTCATCTGGTCGCGCAGCCAGCAGCCCAGAGCCAAGGCCATGACCGGTCCCCGATTCGAGCAGACGGACTTCAACCTCCAGGTGAGACGATGAAACACCTGCAGTCAACGACGGCGTCGAGGGAGAGGGGCTAACCAATTGGTCGCAGCCACAACCGTACTCCGCGATGGAGCTTATCCACGAGCAGCCCGTTACCTGGACACACAAGCGCATCGTTGCGTGCGACGGAGGCGGCGGTCCCGCCGGCCACCCCAGAATCTTCATCAACACCGACAAGCCCGAGATCGCTTCCTGCAACTACTGCGGTCTGCCTTACGTATGTTTGGACCTCCATCTTTCAAAACGGGAAGGGCAGTCATTTAGAGGCATTGGCTAACTGATTGCAGGCCAACGAGCACCACCGCAAGCACCTCGAGTCCCTCCCCGAGACCTCCTACCCCCTTGCATAGAGAAGTGCTGGACAACATTCGGGAGAGGACAGCGATGGGATTGTAACGAAAGTAGCGTCAGCCGTATGCTATAGAACGGCATGACGATGTTTGTAAATATAGCAGAATCAGTGCTTCGGACAACCTTTTACATTTCAACAGGAGCTAGACACGTGTGACCAAGAGTTGACCGCAGCATAACCAATGAAGGACAGGGGGGCCGGCGTGTCGAATGGAAGCGTTGCACAAGCGATCGCAATGTCGGCCAATCGAATTCTGACTAAGTCGTGAGCGATGAACGACGATACGTCTACCACGAAATGCAAGAGAAAGTAACAGAGAGAGCATCAAGTGCTGGCCTTAACACATCCGTCAGTTTAGTCGTTCAGATATGGACTACAAGTGTTGAATAGTGACTGTGGATGGCCATGCAGATAAACCTGCAACCGTCTCTCGTCTCGTAGGTGAAGACAGGCCGACCGTATCGTTAATTGATTAATCAGTCAATATTATCGAAAAAGCAAATAGAAATTCATGGCACCCTAGAAACCTCGAAGTTGGAAGTTGGCGTTGCACCTCTCATCGGTTCTGTGCGTATCAAAGTGCCTTGATTCGCAATTCATCTGACCTCACTTACCCATCGACCCTGCCCCACCAGATTGGACCGCCTGCACCATTTTCATCTCAAAGCACCGCAGCAACCATGTCTCCGACACCACAAAACCGCCAACACCTCTCCTCGACAACCACCCTACTTATCCTCGTCTTCCTGATCATCTGCCTCTTTCCCAATTTATTTCACTTTCTCTGGCAGCTTCCCCTCACGCTCCTGGGCTTCGCATCTTCCACGCCGCGCAGGTCAACCACCCCACGTCATACCCCACTATCAGCGACAATGACGGGCTCTTGGTTCCAGAAGCAGTTCACGCTACCCGCGCGCTCCCGCGGCTCCTACCTCATCACTGACGAGGTCGTGAGCCAGCTTCCCGAGATCAAGAACTACAAGGTCGGCATTCTGCACCTGTTTGTGCAGCATACGAGCTGCGCCCTCAGCCTCAACGAGAACTGGGACGACGATGTCCGGGCCGACATGAGCGACGCGCTGGACCGCATCGCACCCGAGGTCGGCCCCAAGGGACAGGAGCTGTACCGCCACAGCGCCGAGGGCCCTGATGACATGCCCGTGAGTTGGCTTTGGTCTTGTCGTCTGGGCAGTTGCTAATATGACGTAGGCTCACATCAAGAGCGCTCTGGTGGGCGCAAGCGTCACCATTCCCATCAAGGACGGCAGACTCGTAAGTGAAGCAGATCTCCAATCGCAACCTTTGCTTACTGTGGGCAGGCTACGGGAACGTGGCAAGGAATCTGGTACCTGGAGTTCAGAGCCAGCAGGCACCAGCGCCGGCTCGTCGCCACCATCCAGGGAGAGCCCAAGGCATAAAGAAGTCAATGCAAATAGAAGAATAACAATCACCATTTCCTCTAAAGTGCACCAATTGATATTGGCATATGCGTGAGGCAAAACTATTGTACAGCCACCGGGTCTAGACTTTTTGACCTACGCCGAACGCCTCGCCCAATCCTTTCCTGTGAGATGCTACTGTGTGAAACAGCTTTACTGCTCGCTGTTCTCATCCTTCGCCTCTTGCATATCCGTGTCGTCCCCAGCCAAAACCTTGATCCGGGGCACATATCCCTCGGGTGCGGACGAACCCGGGGTGACCGCGACGATATTACCGTTCTCATCGACGAACTCGAAGTTGTATCTGCTGAGGAGGTGGGGAATTGCAGAAAGCTGAGGACCGTAGCGGGCGGTGTTATCGTAAAGCTCGAACAGGGGAACTGCGAGGAGTTTCATGTTCTTCGGCACGCTGAGCACTTCTATCAAGGATGTTAGCAAAATGCACCAAATCAGACTTCATCGACGTAGAGTGAAGCACGTACTGCTCTTGGGTAACTGGATAAAGTAGAGCTTCTTGCACTCCTTCGGCCTGGTGACGTGCGCAGGCACGAACGGGTACATGAACGTCTCGAAGTTGGGCCTCCACCACTGCGCCAGGCAGTCACCGACCTGCCAGTCCGCAGGCTCCTCGCCCTCTCCAATCCTGCCAACAGGCGCAAGGCGCTCGTCGAGACGAGACTTGAAGCCTTCGACCTCGTCGTCCTCGGGGCGGAGGTAGTCGCCAGGCAGCTTGAAGAAGGCGTTGGCGATCTGAAGCATCAGGATGTGCGGGTGGTTGTGCTCATGGCAGACGAGGATGCCCTCGCAGGTGCGGCGCATGCCATGCTGGTTGTAGTGCTCTTCGAGGCGCTTCAGACGGGCGATCACGGAGGGGTCTTCCTCTGGTTGGGTCTCTTTTACGCCAAAAGTGTAGTTGGACAGAGGGTAGAGGCGAATCGTCTCCGGCTGGTTCGAGTTGAAGGAGAGGGGAATAATGGGCGCATGACCCGATTGCAGGGCGGTATGGGTGATTGTAGACATTCTGGCGGGCTTCGAATCGGGAAATGGGACGCGAAGCGCAAGTGTGGGAGGAAGATGTGTTATGACAGGCGCAAGGAGATGGCTGGAGCTCAGACCTGGTGCCCCCAAGCTCCACGACTCCAGACTACCAATTGGGAAGGCGGTGAGCTGGACCACTGATCGCCGGCCCACCTTCCCGACCTCGGTGAGCTCAGGTCAACGACGGTCCGTTAGATTTGACCCTCTGCGTTGTCGTCGCCATCGTCGCTGTTGCCGCCTCTATCATTATTAGGACTCCTACTGTCGTCGTCGTCGTCATCATCGCCTCTATAGTAATCATTTCTACTGTCGTTCTTTCCGCTATTGTCCTCGACCGGGGCATAAACCCAAGTTTATGAAGTACACAGGAAGTGAGGCGGTCTCCTATTGAAACACGAGCTTTGTTCACTGTCGCAACTTGGCCCCAAAAAAAATAAAAGATTGAATTCTTTCCATTCTCTATATTGATATCTTCCGTGGATCTCAGCAGTCGTCACCATGGATTCCTCGTAAGACGGAGCATTGCAATCTGTGATTAACCCTTAATGAAGAGTGCTGTAACGATGAATATGCTTACGCAGATAGCACCTTCCTTGGATCTCTATGATTGTACAGAAGTGTCCGTTCTGTATGAGTAAGGCTTTCCGCAGAGCCCGGTGGTCTTGCTGAGCCGTCTCGCGTTATCAGCACTCTGAGTGCGCTCTCCTTCGGCCAACCTTTTCAATAGGATCTTATGGGATCTGTCCTTATATCCTATTTTCAGCCTATTTACGCGTGGTTACTGCTCAAGATTCATTTGCAATCCACGCCTCGTCTACTTAAAGCAGTCACTACCCCGAATCTCACAGAGATGTAGTAAATCAACTGAAACATCTTTCATAACTAGCACTGACCAGCATGTTCTGTGGCTTCTGTTGCCTATCGTACTGACTTTAAAAAGGAGGATAAAGAAGGTGCCTCCTTAAATCGCTCTTCCCTCACAGATGTTTGTTAAGGATGCTGGAAGATGCATTACTGTTTATCTCAAGGCATCCCCATGGGCTATCGTCTGTGCAGACTTGAAGTGAGCTTGCACTGCAAGTGAGAAGTTGTCGGCACTCCAAGCACTTCAGGCACACCATGATTCCCAATAGCCATCCACGGCCTCGGGGTACTTGTATTTCAGAATTGCCTCCCACAACACCAACCCAAGGCGGGGACACCAAAGCACTCGACGCTCTCTACCTGGAGCTACCCAGGCAGCTAAAAAGAGGGAGCACCTTCCCTCCTCAATCTTTCCTTCTGCCTCCTCGAGTCTGTTTATCTTCTCGTCTCACTTGATTTTCTTCCTCCTACTTCACAACCCACAACAGTTGGGCTTCCACCACCAACCATCTCAACTCGACGTAACTTCTGTTGACTGCCAAACCCTACACGCTTGTTGACCGTCAAGAATCATCTGCTATTGATAACAGCTGATTTGTCTCTGTCAAACGATTCGCTTTCTGGTAAGTCTTCGCCGAAATCGCGCGTAGCGGTGCGAGCGGAAGGCTCGCGCTGGCTAGCCTGCTTACCCTACGTCTTCTTTCACATCTGCGTCTTCAGTTTCCTGTTTTCTGTCTCTCTATTTCTACACACTGGTTTCAATTTTCTCTCAGTCGTCATTTCATTGCCCAGAGTGGCGCCTGCCGTGGTCGCAGGTCTTGCACCTCAGGGCTGCTTCGTCATCTCACTACTCAACCGTGCCAGCCGCCACATTCATCACCTGGCATTGCTTGGTACATCGAAATTGAGCTTCCGGGCTGACCCATTTCTAGCAGAATTACCACGCGATCTGATCTTCAGTGGCGTCACCTACAATGGCGGACGACGAGGTGCACCAAGGCCTGTCAGCGGCAAGAGCACATGAGATGATGGAGATGGCAAAGGCGCAGAAAACAGGAACACAGCTGCGACAGACCAGCGTCAAGGCCACAGGACTCCTGGACAACCTCAAGTCGACGCTCATTCACATGGCAGACATGAAGAGAGCCGCAAAGTACTGTAAATCGATCGATCATTTGCAGTCCGAGGCCAAGCTTCCGCGGTTCGTCATTGGAGTTCTTGGCGACACAGGTACCGGCAAGAGTTCTCTCATCAATGCAGTTCTGGACGAGGAGCGTGTAGTTCCTACCAATTGCATGCGTGCATGCACTGCAGTCATCACCGAGATTCTTACAACACCGAAGAGGATGCAGGAAAGAAGTACAGAGCGAAAATCGACTTCTTGTCGCGGGCCGAGTGGACCCAGGAGCTCTTGCAGCTTCACCGAGACATCCTCGATGACAACGGAAAGATCTCCAAGGATACCAGAGACGAGAGCAGTGATGCCGGTACAGCCTATGCCATCATTCGCTCTGTGTATCCTGACTTGACTCCCGAAGAGCTGGAACAAACTCATCCAACCGCTCTTGCTAGTCGCCCGGTTTTGCAACCTGTCCTAGGAAAAACCATGACGATTGAGGAGAAGACGTGTGACGTTTTCTACGACAAAGTCCAGGCTTACGTCGATTCCGAGGACAATGGCAACTCCCAGGTCCCGACCATTGCATACTGGCCGCTTGTGAGGGCTGTTCGGATCTTCTTGAAGTCAAAGGTTTTGTCGACTGGTGTCGTTCTCGTCGATTTGGTGAGGCCCTGAATACTTCCTCTGAGTTCTTGATGCAATTCGCTAATACCGAAACAGCCAGGAAGTCGCGATTCCAACAGCGCGAGAGCAGCAGTTGCTGCCAAGTACACCAAAGAGTGTACAAGACTCTCGATCATTGCGCCGATCACTCGAGCTGTCAACGATAGGACGGCCAAGACGTTGCTCGGTCAGCACTTTAGACAGCAGCTGAAGTTCGACGGTTCATACTCCAATATCACGTTCATCTGCACGAAGGCCGATGATGTTGCCCTTGACGAGGCAGCCGAGACTCTTGGCATCAGAGACACTATTCAAGAGATGCATCGTCGCTGGAAGGAAATCAAGCCGGAGATCAACGCCACGAAGAAGAATCTCAAGAAATTGGAGGCGCACAAGTCGAACCTTCACGCCGAGATCAGCGTTGCGGGCAACGAAATCGACAACTGGCATGGCATCTACAACAAGGCTACGAGCGGAGAACGTGTATTTGCTCCGTTCGAGTCCCCTAGAAAGCGCAAGCGCCATACAGAAGATGAAGTCCGAAAGAAGGTCAAGAAGGAGGTCGAGTACAGCGATACAGAAGAGTCCAACGACGAGTCGGACGAAGAAATGCCGTCTCAGCAAGACGACCATCGTGAACCCTTGACCGCGGAAATGGCTGGCGCCAAACTTCAGGAGCTCAAGGACATGAAAAAGTCCCTCAGAGATGAGAAGAAAGAGGTTAGCAAGGAAGTGAGCAAGCTGAAATCTGCCATCGCCGATCTCACCGCCGAGAGATCGAAGGTGAACACGGAGATGCATCGGCTGTGCATCCAAGGACGCAACAAGTACTCGCGAGAGGAAATCCAGAAGGATTTCGCTTTCGGTCTCAAAGAGTGGGTACAACATTCTCTCGGAGAAGGGCTCAATGCTAACCACGTCGGCATTGAATAGGCTGGACGACGAGCTGCTTGCCGAGCAAGCTCAGAGCGACGGACAACCGCCCGAGGTTGCTGATATTGACTACGAGAGAATCGGACGGGACCTGCCGGTCTATTGCATTAGCAGCCGAAGCTACCAACAGCTTCGAGGCCGCATGAAGAAGGATAGACGTGTCGCCGGGTTCACTACCCTCGAGGAGACCGAGGTTCCAGGCCTCCAAAGGCACACGCTTGAGTTTGCAGCAGCTATTCAAGATGGCTACTTTAAGAGTCCTTTGAACGAAATCTGTCGCTTGCTCAGAGGCATAGACTTGTTTCTCGCTGGCGACGAAGCCACGCTCAAGATGTCGGATGCTGAACGACAGGAGGAGTGCAAGTTTCTCGAGAAAGCTGTGGGAAAGCTGAGGAAGGTGCGTACTTACACTGTGGCTCTCATCTTGATGATGTAGATACTAACCTACTGGAATAGACTCTCGAGGAGTCTGTAGCGAGCTGCATGCAGGACTGCGAAACGTCTGCCACGAAGGTGCTCAAGCGATTGCCAAAGGCTGCTAGCAAAGGTTCTGCTGCGGCCGTGGCCATGGCGAAGTCCTGGAGCGCATCTCCCGATGCCGGTGGTCTGCGGTTTCCCACATACCGCGCCACTTGTCGTCGCCGGTAAGTCTCTTTACTTGCATCTCTTAGTGGACGACCTCGTGGCTAACGTTGTTCTCTCAGTGGTGTGTTCAAGGGTGCTGCTGGTCCTCGTGACTTCAACGAAGGTAGGCTGCACGAACGCATCACAGCAGAAACGAGCTGCTGACAATCATGGACAGACCTTCTGAAGGCTATGAAGAATATCTATGCCCAGTCCTGGGACCAGTCTTTCAATAAGCGCTTCCCGGAGCTCCTGGACAACCTTGCTCTTACCTGTGATCGCATGATCGGCGCCTTTCAAGCTCGCATGAAGGGTCGACGCTTTTTGACTGACAACACCGACTTGGTCCAATCCATTCTCACAAAGCACGTTGCTGCCATGAAGGAAACCCAGATCCACATTGCGAAGCAGCACAAGCAATTCGCCCAGGAGCATCAGCGAGGTGCCAACCGTATGCTGTATCCGGCCATTGAAGGCGCCCTGCGAGGTACCTACGGATACTGTGCTCAAGTAAAGGGTAGGTAACCCACGAGGATAAGGGATATCTTTGCATGACTGACAGTCCTTACAGGTGGCGGTGCACTCATCACCATTCGCAGTACCATGGAGAAGGAAATCGAGAAGAAGCGGGCGACAATGTTCTATGACGCTGCCAGCGACGCCGATAGTGCAGTGCACACTCTTCTTGAAGGCTTGGATGAGATGGTGCGCCGCAACGTCACCACCGTGATCAACATCATCGAGCAGGACTACACCAGTCTTATCGGCACTGTTGCTACCGAGGCGGACAAGCGTGACCGGAAGATGTTGGCTCCCGTCATGAACGTGTTCTACCAGGAGTTGCTTGTGGCCCTGAGCGAGCCCGACGATGACGATAAGGGAGGCGAAGAGATTGTCATCGACAACAAGAATGTCGACGAGGACGAGGATGACGACGGCGATGGTTCCTATCACGACAGTGACTAAGTTGGTTTGTAAGACCGGATTGGGAAGTATCAGGATGGACCGAAACGTAGGAATACTTGCGTTTTTGCTATTGCTCACCAACTTGAGCTGGTACCTTATCCTTGGAAGGAACGCACGATATCAGGATCGGACAGGCAGACTCACATGGTCAACCTCAAGTGAAGGTTTAGATGACTTTACATAGACAATCGCTTCTCGATTACTATGATGAGCATATCCCGTGAGGTGGCCCGCGCTAAACTGAGCCAACGGGACCACCCCGCGTTAAGGCGACTGCACCGGAGACTGCTGGAACCGTCAGTACACAACCTCGAGGACCATCTTGAGATTCCAGTCGCCAAACGTCGATCTAGAAGCTTCTAGATTTCCTTGAGCAACAGCCGGCACTAATCGCAGCGTGCCATCGCATACGGGGACTCCCCCCTCTCAATACCAGCCTCTTTCGATCGTGCCAAACCTCTACATCGTGTCAACTCATTGTCAAATTCGCATTCGCAACGCTCTAGAGACTACAAACGCCAGGCATGACAGAACACCGACAGCATCACCATCAACAAACCTCACAACAAGCCAGCTTATCGCACCAATTAGCGACAGCGATATCCGCGCTGACGAAGCAACCGCCCGTCGCGGAGTTCCTGAAGGGTCGTCCTCCGCCGCCCGCTCCGAGTCACGGCACCGGAACCTTGAGCCCGGGCACCCTTGCCATAGCCAAGCCGTGCGTGGCACGGCGAGTTCGGGACAGCCGTCAGTATGACCGCACCGTGCAGCGGTAACAGCGGGAGAGCGACGGCTTGCAGCAACGTGTCTAGGCCACTCTTGGTTTTGCTTGACAGGCAAACAACGGACCGGAAGGGGGCAATGGTAGCAGTGTGAAGCAGCGCACGCATGTATGGAAAGCACACACGTTGGACGGGCTGTTCAGCTTGTCCAGGTAGTTCAAAAGTGTGTGCTAGGCAAAGGGGTCGTTGCCACTGGATGGATGATACCCCATGGCCAGCGCGACTGTCGTACTCGGATACCGTGGGCATAAGCTTAATGGTTGTCTGAGTAAGGCAGCCATTTTTTGTTGAGGGTTTTTAGGTTGTTGCCTCCATGTCACATTTTTGCAATGCGGAACTGCCAAATGCAAGCGACGCCGTAGCAGCGATGACCGCATTGCATTTCAGCCGGGGCGAACAGTTAATTAATTTTGAGCGGAGCCCCGGGCCTGGGAGGCCTGCGAGTGATCTGCGAGCCGTGGGATTGGACCAGGGGGGCGGGCGGCGGTGGGAAAGCTTACACTACAATGGATGAGCAGAAAGGCGACAACTTGGAAGAGGAGACAAGATATTCAGCTGTGGTCGATCCCGTGACTGCAAAGCTGTTGGCCCCGTGGGGTCGGGTGGGAGGTTCTGTCACGGGATTCCGGGACCGGTGAGAGGAGATGGCCAGTCATGCGCCGTTGGGAGCGGCCGCGTGACACCAAGAGCCGGACTCGGTCAGGGAACCGGCGGCGGGGTTGGTTGGTTGACGATTGAGCCTTGAGGAGGAGGGGTGACTTCGTGACTTTGGGGGGAGGAACACCCACGATGTGGAGGGGAGGAGGGGGTCATCCCACTTTTGACTTCAGTGTTGTTCCCCCTCCCATCCCCCATCCCCCATCCCCCTTCCCCAAGCACCCCTCCCACCTTATCTCGGCGGAACGTCTAGGAAAGCAAGTCGGAAAGTCAAATGTTATGCATCCCAAACCACACCCCCATGCCATGCCGCCACGACATTACCCGTGACTGGCTGGTGCCGTTGACGACCTAGAGAACCGGCTGCTGCTGCAAAACCTTGCTAATGGATTACTCGACGACACGAGAAAGTGGCTGCATGTTAGCCAGGATGCTTTTCATAAGTGAGGGCACGAGGGAGGGGGGGAGTATCCGACAGCATTGGCGGTTGGACGAGCGACCTGGACAAAACCCGCAGTCAGTGCTTGTTTTGAAAGCCTCACCCAACCTTGCCCATCAACACAAAAAAGTGTTGCGCGGCTTCGTCCAAAGGTTGGAAAGTCTAGCCTTCATCCAAAACAGACCCCGCGTTATCAGCAAAGTCAAGATTCTGCTTCTTGGCGGGCGGGTTCGCGGAGGGCAATCGGCAAGTGTCGTGTAAGTTGTGAAGAGAGCACATGTTTGTGTTGGTGTGTGTGTGTGTGAGTGAGATGGGCTCATCTCATGATTGTCTAGAATGGGCAGATACACACGTGTGTTGAAGAAACAAGGCGCTAGCCGGGCGCCGAGATCGTTTGATAGCTCTGAGGTTGCAGCAATCGTTGCAACAGTGCCTGGCAGACGTGGGGATTGAGTTTTTCTTCTCTTTGTGCTTCTCTTGTGGATTTTGATATTGGCCCGGTAATTGAATGGAAGCAAATTGCGGGTTATCAAGTGAGATGTGCGGTCCGCGGGCAACGAGGGGGAACCCGAAAGCAGCGGGAACGAGAGAACGAGACATGTCGACAGGAACCATGGGAAGAAGACTTGCAGGTGCATCACAACCTCAGACGGACGCACATGTAAGTCTCAGAGAATGCAGACGGCGAGTCGAGAACGGACGGAAGGGCCGATGGGACAGGCCTTCATTCCGTCCATGATGACATTGATCCACAGGCCGGGTTCCCAATTTGAGCAGCTGTTCCAAGCATCCCTGACGCTGAGGACGGGAAGGAGAACGATGAAGCTGGAGCATGAAGATATTGTGAGCTGACGGTGCTTCGGCGAGAACGAGGCCGTCGGTACCCGAGAGCAACAACGGACGGACGGTCGGCAGGTACGGGACAGCGGTGCAGTCCTGGGGATATGGAAGCCCCGAGCCTGGACACTGGACACTGGAGGAGCCTGACGAGGCGAGGCGAGGCGAAGCGAGGACGCAGACGCAGACGCAGACGCAGATACGGGCCCTGCTGGGCCATCAGGCACAGGCACAGGCACGAGCACCAGTTGATGAGTTAACCGGCACCGCAGAGGGCGGGCGGGCAGGGCCTACCACCTGGCAGCTGGGCTGGGCTGGGCAATCGCATCCTGGAGGTGGAAGGCGACATTGCAGATTCCCAAGGCTTTAAGCCTTCCAGGGCCCCGTTCGGTGCCCTCCATGGGTGGGCGTGGATCCTTGCCCGAGTCCCTCGGTGTCAAATCCACAATGTAAAAGGATACGTACCTCTGCGCCCCCAAGATTTCCCTCTCCTCCCCTCCCCTCCGAGCCCTTCCCCTCCTCTCGGAGTGCCCTCCCAGTGTCCATGCAGAGAAAGCGTGTGTGCGTGTGTGTGTGTGTGTGTGTGTGCCCCTCGCTGAACTGAAAACTGACTGACCTGCGGGAGACTGAGGCGGAGGAGTGGGAGTGCAAGTGAAGAGAGAGAGAGAGAAAATGCCTGGCGGCCACGACCCGACCAACCGACCCAAAGTCCAGACAGTGGGGATCGGGGACACCATCTTTAGGGTGTTCTAGGCCTCCCCTCCCCTCCACCGCAGGGCACCTCACCTTGGGTCCTTCCCCTCGAAGAGGTACGGATAGCAGCCCCTCACAGAATTAGAAGTCGGCCGTCCACAAACAATTCGTTCCATTCCAGGTTCCATTTGCTGCGCTGCGCATTCTTGTCACCTGCGGCCCGGCTGTCTGTCTGTCGTCTCTTTCCACCTCTTCCCCAAACCTGCCCCCAGTACCAAAGTAGACCGCTCCTCTCCGGCCTGTCTTACCACGCAATTCTAACTTGCCCTTAGGGCCTTGCCTTGCGCTTTTGGGACAAGCAAGACTTTTCTGGCACCACCACCTCCCTGGAATTCAACCGGCATCAGAGACAACAGACACATACACACCCTCTCGCATCTGGCCTGATTCGAGACCACCATCCCGGGGCCCCAACCTGATCTCTGGACTGTTCTTCTCCAACTCTCAACCAGAGTCTGTCTCTGTCTCTCTCTCTCCGCGGGGAACTTTGGAGCAGGAGAAACATTCCCCAGGCAGTTCATACATACACTCTGAGCACGCGCGCGCGCGCCCATCTGCAGTCCGACGCTCTTCTTTCCGCCGCCATCGCTCTCGCCTCGCCTCGCCTCGCCTTGCTGCCGCCGCCCCCCAGGGTAAATCACCGATACCCTACCTACCTACCTTACCTGCCTTACCTACCTTGCCTACCTTGTACTCTGCATAGCATAGCACACACAGCACACACACGCTCGGCGCACACATCTGCCTCTGGCCCTGCACTCGCCGTGCGTCTACCTCTCGCACTGCAAATCTAAAGTGGGTGTGGCCTGGCCGCAACCGTCAATCGTCCACCCCGAACAAACATTGGACGCCGCCGACCATTTCGCCGCGACGGGCTCCCTTTTCTCAGACGCCTTGCGTCATGCCCACGCCTAGGAACCCATTGGCCCACCTCCCCGCCCCGATTCCTAGCCCTCGCCCGCCCATCTCCCCTGGCCAGTCTCGCTACTGCCGCTGCCGCTGCCACTGCCGCTGCCACTGCCGCTGCCGCTGTCGCTGGAGTAGCTGCTCGGCTGAGTCTGAGTCCTGTTGACCGATATGGTGGTGGATATGGACAATGCGACGAGGCTCATCGGAGACCTGCATCAGAAGCTAGCCGACCTCGACCACAAGGTTGCAGCCTACCGCCAAGACATGGCAACCGAGTTCTATAGGTACTCCCAAAAGCTCCTCCAGAACCTCCCACGAGACAAGCAAGCCGAGGTCGATCGTCTCGTCGCCGCTTCCTTCCACAACTATCCCAATCTCGCTCCCGCCCTCACTCTCCCACGAGACCACCCTGACTCACCCCCACCGCCGCCGCCTACCGACGACCCCGACAAGCCCACCGAAACCACCTCCCCCGACCGCCGTGCCCCGACCCCGACGCCGCAGTCGTCTCCCTCCTCTGCGCTTCCCCCATCCGTCCTCTCTCATGCCGGAACTGCCACCCTAACCTCTCCCGACAGTACACACGACCGGGAAAGGGATAGGGAACTGCACGGCCTCTTCACTCCGACCTACCTGCCTCTGCTCGACAGCGCACAACCGCCCCCCGCGACGAACCACTCGCCAGTCCTCTCACCACCATCAAAGCCCACCACCGACGACGATATGGGTCGGCGCAGTTCCGGACAGGCGAGTGACCGTCCCGCTGTGCAGGTGTCTGTCGCTGCGACCCAGACGCCCGAGCGGCCGAACCACGAGCGCCGGGCGACGGACGAGACAACCTCCTCGGGCACCTCTGAGCAGAGCGAATCCAAGGTCCGCCGGAGTGCCTTGCGACGGGCGTCGAGCGGCGGATCTAAGCCCCCAGCCAGCCCCCGCCGCGTACGCTTCGAGTTTGAGGGAACAGAGGTGCTGCCTACAGCCTCGCCGCAGTCGACAGAGCCGTCACTGGTGCAGTCACACACCCTGGCCAACTCGAGGTCACCACCCCCGCCTGAAGATGAGTCAATGACTGTCGAGTCTCTGCTGGGCCCTGATGAAGACCTTGGGCCCCCGCCAAAGAAGGTGTCTTCCTCCCAGGCACTCCGGGCTCTCTCCAGAGCTCCCTTGGATGCGAATACCGTATGGACTGTGGTGAACCCTGACGCCGCTGGGTCTGAGAATGGCAGCATGGCGACGTCTGATTCTGAGAGTTCTTTGCACGCGAGCAGCTCCCGTCAGCCTCAAGTCCAACCCCAGGACCCACCGAAGAAGGTTGAAGTAGAGCGTGGGCGTGAGCGCGAGCGCCAGCGCGCCCCAGAACCACCGGCATCTCTAAAGCCAGTCCGCACAGCGAGGGACTACGACAGCGACGACAGCTCTTCCGACGACGAGTTCCTTGCCATGGCGAAGCCAAAGTCGTTTGCTAACAAGAAGGCCATCATGTCTCCGACATCACGTTCGCCGACAAGGACAGTCCCCGTACCCCAGAGCCCCAGCTCGGAAAAGCCAGCACCTCACACAGAGACCCAGTCGTCAAGTCGGAGTGGCGTCGAGGAGGAAGATGATGAGGACATGTTCCATTTCGAGGGATTGAGTGCTCCGCCCAAGCCTCGGGCCAGGCCTGCACCCATACAAGAAGAGGACGAGGACGATGACGACAACGAGGTTGAATCAAGCGAACCCGTGGTGCAGACATTGTACTCAACCTCACCCGCCGTGTCCATTCCCAAGCAAACAGAGCCGCAGATCCCCGCGCACCTCATCTCTGGGTCCGTTGGGTCCTTCAGGGGTCGACCTGTGATCATGCCGGTTGTCAAAAATCCTGATGTATACCAGCAAGCAGCCTCGCTGGGTGACGTTAGCAGTTTTATCGGAGGTTTGGACGGACGCAGCGGCGTCGACGATGGTGATCTCAGTAGCTATCGCGCCAGCGTTGGACAAGCATTGTTCTCGGGTACGCCTCGAAGTTTGACGGAACGAATGATGATGGAGGAAGCACAGAGCCAGCGACGTGCCGCTGCTCAGCGACCGCACTAACTGCGGCAGTTCGAACTTATTCACCAAATTTCATGTGTATGATATGGGTATGGGCCAACTGTAGAGGGTTCCGGAAGTCTGTACATAGACCATGCTTAGGCGTTTAGAGGCAGTTTTTGGCTGGGCAACTGGACGGTGCGGCATGCTGAGTCTTTGGGTGGGGGCGGGGTATCTGGGACCGGCGGTCGAAAGCATTGTTCGTACGTGGCATACCTGACCAGACATCATCGTAGTTTATAAATATCGAATGTAAAAGGCCCACGAGGTCATTGGAGAGAAAAGTATGGGCATGGTCAGTTTGGCGAGCGGAATGAAGTCGTGAATGTGCATCGGCGTTGCATGCCCCTCGGGCTCTGTCAGATCGGGCATGGGCCCACCCCAAACCCCCGGAGAAGGTGGAAAAAATTGCGCCGAGGTTCCGGACCGCCCGCGCCATCCCGGCGTCCAACACCGCTGCAGATGATTCACAGTACGCGTTGTAGAGCTCCATCACCCACCCACACTCGAAATCGTCCGACCATCCCAGCGTCATTGATTTCGATCAGCCATTGCACACTACACGACACCCGCGCAAACAATTTACAATGGGTGGTCTCAATCTGGAAGTTTTCAAGGTAAGTCTTCTGTCCCTAGGCTTTTTTTTCCCTTCTTGGGGCCGACGGGAGTGAAAAGTACTGACACTATCGATCCAGTTCGGCATGTATGTCATGTTCCCCATCGGCATCATGTACTACTTTGGCACGAACCTCGACAACCGTTTCGCCGTCCCCGATTTCTGGCCAAAGGCCGAGCACTCGCACAAGATTCCTTTCGACCGCGAAGACATCAAAGAGGAGTACGTCAGACTGGCCAAGCGCCAGCGACTCGTTGACCAGATGAGAAAAGACCGGGAGGCCGCCCAGGCGGCGCAGAACCCGCCTTCGAACGAGGATCAGTAGGACGCCCGCGAGGCATGATTGCGACGGACGTGATACCAACGAGGACGGTTACGAGACCCTTCGCTGTGGAAGGGTTGGGGGCATGTCCCACGGTGGATTCTATGCGGGGGAGGGGTGCTGTATCATATTGGCGTTTGGATGTCAAAAATATTCGGCTTGGGGAAATTGCATGCGACGGACGCGGCGTTTGGGCAGGAGGACCTTTGCAAACACTCGCCCCTCAGAGCATCTGTAGTGTTGTATTATACGTGTGTTCTACATGTTGTACATATCAAACAGAGAAGAGAGAGAGAGCCTTGGCTTTGACCAGGACCTACGAGTCCAGGTTCTCCTCGATCTTGGACCACCTTTCCTCCGAGATTGCTCCCTTGGCGGGGTTGCCGTACACGGCTTGGACCTCCGGATAGTCCTGCAGCGCAGCCAAGAGTTCGCCGAGCATGACCGCATCCTCGCCGTTTTCGATGGCGACCCTGGTATCCTCATTTGCAGACCAGATGATCTCGGAGGACAGCAGCTTCAGCTCGAACTTGGGGCCCACGCCGTTCGCGACGGAGGTGGTCATGTTCGGCTGCGTCCAGATGATCAGGTTGCCCTCCTCGTCTGCCTCAATGTCCTCGGCGCCCGCCTCGATCGCATCATCCATGATGTCGTCCACCGTTGCGCCTTCTTTCGCCTCGAAGACGACGCGGCCAGTACGGGTGAAGAAGAATGATGCCGTGTTGGCAGTGCCCTTGTGCTTCTTGATGAGGGACCTGAGTTCCTGGAGGGTCTGGCCCTTGCTCTCGGTCTCGGCTTCGATGATGAGTGCGACGCCGGGCGGGAGGATGGCTTCGATGGTCAGGGTCTCGAGGGCGGCGCCCGTGGCGGAGCGGCCCTGTCCGCGCGCTATGGCGGAGTCGATCAGGCTCTTCGGGACGCCGGCCTTCTTTGCGATTTCGATGGCGTTTGCGAGCTGGGGGTTGTCGACCGTCCCGTACAACTTAGAACAGAGCGTGATCCTCTTGGAGTGCTGGCTGCGCATGCTGTTCTTTTGCGCATCGGTAGCGCCCTTTTTGTGCTTGATCTTGGACCATTTATTGTGTCCACTCGCGACGGCGGGCGTCGTCGAAAACGGGCGGAGGCATTGGCGGCAGAAGGTGGGCTGAGATCGGGACCCCAGGACGATGGCGCGGGATGCGATGCTCCGCAGGGAGCTGCTGCTGCTGGCGGCGGCGGCGGCGGCGGCGAATGGACGCATCGTTGACGTTGAGGAGAGACGGTGACTCGGGGCCGGGATCGGGTCGGGGCGGCTTCCGGGTTTCGGGTGCGAGGGCTACCTCCTCTGGTTCGTGTCATGTCCGGGCCACGGACGACCACGACTTTGGGGGAGCTCAATCGTGCGGCATGTCAGAGACAGCTCCAAAATTTAAGTGGGGGTTGAGACTGAGCCACAGCTGTCCCGCCCAGCGCCTCAAGTGATATGTCATGGCATCCCGCCCAAACTTGGGCTGACCCGCCGGGGGGTAGCGTCCGCGCCCCTGATTGCTTTACCTTAGCCCATCCCATCCCGTACCTGACCGCATGCCTGTCCCGTCCCTCAACCTGTCCCCAATATACCAAACACACCCCGTTCAAAGAGCTTCCGACGAAAGAAGACAGACAACCCAATTGAAGAAGAACAGATTACCGGACCCCCAGTGGTCATCAGACAAACTCCCTCGATGTCGTCGACGGGAGCTCCCAATGGCTCCCACGAGGACGTCGCGCAAGCTGCTGCCTCGCCGCGGCCGTCATCAGCTGCACCGACGGCGCCCCCATCGCAGCCCCCTCCCCCGACAGCGACGACCTCGTCCATAACCGACTCGGCAGCGACCTCGACCCCCGAGCTCGACGTTTCAAAGCTCCAGGCCCTCCCCGCCGAGCAGCAGGAGCTGTTCCTGCTTACCTTTATCTCGACCCTTTCGAAGCACGTCCTGAGCCTCTCCGCCGACGACTGCACCGCCCAGCAGTTCTACCTCAAAAAGGAGATTTTGCAAATCGTCAACCTACCCTCGCCCCAGCCGAGCCGCGTCGTCAGAAACAATCTCGGCAAGTGTCTTGCCCACATCTTTGGGCATGGCGACCGGAAGCTTCTCTTCGAGACCATCAACGACTTGATCGCCATCATCACCGGAGCCAGATCCAAGACGGATGCGGGCCCGCGCACGAAGCACGCCGCCGTCGCGTGTCTGGGCGACGTGTACGCATCCGCCGGCGACAGCGCCATTGGCTTGCACCCACTTGCGTGCGCGACGCTCATCAAGCTCTTGAAGTCGTCCTCCAGCAACGCAGGCCTGCGCGCCGCCGTGTTCACGTCGCTGGGCAAGATTGTCAAGATGGTCGAAGGCAGCATGGACGAAAATGTTGCCAGGGACATCTTCAAGCAGTCGCGCAGCTACGGCACCAGCGACAAGGGCTCGCTGGTCATCGTCTCCGCTTGTCGGGCCCTGAGGGCCCTCGTGCGACACACGCCATACTTTGAGAACTCGAACGACTTTGAGAAGCTGCAGACCGCCATCTTCAAGATCTTCGACTCTTCGTCGTCGCAGGTCAGACATGCCGCCGCGGAGGCGCTGGCTGAGGCCATGGTCAGGGGGCACTCCGAGACCGGCGTCGCGGAGGCAGCCCCGCTGACGAAGGCTCAGAAGAGGATGAGCAAGAAGCCGATCAAGCGCACTGGCACGGCCGCCAGCATAGTTGCTGACGAGGACGACCTGCCCACGTCGAGACCGGGCAGCCCTGCCCCCGGCGGGAAGAGGGCGCAGGATCTGGCGCTGTCGCTGACTGAGATTCTGAGGATCCTTTCGACCCAGTACACCAAGATGCCGACGTCGAACAAAGCCAGGGCGGCCATCGGCGTCTGCTACGGCAAAGTACTGAGAAGGCTTGGTGAGAGGACGGTGGAGACAAACTACCTCAAGATCCTCGAGAATCTGACCGTCGACCTGATCGGACAGCCCAATATCCTCAACAACCGTTATCGTCTCCTGATCTCGAGGCGCATCGTTGACACCATTCTCCAGGACGTCATTGGACAGAAGATTCTAGGCGAGTCTGGACAGACGACGGCGGCCAAGCTCATCATCAACGACATTCTCAAGAACTATCCGCAAGCCCTGGTCGAGCGCTCAGAACCGACGAAGCACACCTTGATCGCAGCCCTCGGCGCGATAGCTTCGCTCATCAACTGCTTGGGGTCTGCGGCGAACAACTTTGCGGAACCATGCAGAGACGGTCTGTTGGGAGTCCTTCAGCACCCCAGCTACTCGGTGCAGGTCCATGCCTCCGCATGCATGAAGGCTTTCGTCCTCGCCTGCCCCCAGCAGCTCCTGCCTTGCTTGTCAGTGTGCATGAACAGCCTCAGCAGAGAACTGGGGCTTCTCACTAGTGGACGAAACTCTCCCAGGCGATGCGTCGGATTTGCTCATGGTTTGGCAGCAACGTTGAGCGCAAGCCCCGCGCGGCCCCTCCACGGATCCGTTGATATCAACAGCCGTGTCCTGACGATGGCGACCAACCTGCTCAAGTCGAGCGGACAATCCGAGCTGAGAGTCTCTAGCACTCAGATTCAGGTAGCATGGATCTTGATTGGTGGTTTGATGTCTCTGGGCCCAAACTTTGTGAAGATTCACCTCTCCCAGCTGCTGTTACTCTGGAAGAATGCGCTGCCCAAGCCGTTGTCCAAAGACAATACCGCTCACCGCAGTCTGCTCGAGGCGTCTTTCCTGACTCACGTTCGAGAGTGTGCGCTGGGCTCGATATTGTCGTTCCTGCAATTCAACACCAGGCTGCTGACGGTTGACGTTTCCAAGCGTATAGCCACAATGCTGCAGAATACCTCTGCGTTCCTGAGAACTCTTCCTTCCAAGAAGATCACCGATGATGTGTCGCAGAGACTGACGCCGGCGCTCCAGCTGCACGACTTGGACATGATGGTCCAACGCCGCGTGCTGCAGTGCTACATCAAGCTCGTGAACCTCAGCCCCGCCGGTGGCAGCGAGGCGCTCCTCCAGTCGAACCTGCTCACCATTGCAATTTCTCTCTTCGCAGACCCAGAGAACTACTCTGCCAACTCTCTCAGCGCGTCCATAGCGAATGCAGCAGCCACGTTCGAGACCGTCTGGGACGTGGGCGACAATTCCGGCTTTGGCATCACCGGCCTCATTTCCGGATTCAAGATCAAGGGTCTGCCGGGTCAACAGGACAACTCCATAGAAGGCACGCCCTTCGAAGAAAACAGCCCCGAAGAATCTATAGACCGATTGCTACTATCGCCAGTTTGCGGCACCCTAGAACACGACGCCTCCCTGCTATACGTCGGTGATGCCACAGAGCTCACCATTCCCGACCCCCCGGCCACCGAGGTCATCAACATGGCCATCCAGCTGTTTGCTTTCGTGTTTCCGCTGACACCGCCCAAGGTACAGGAGAGCGTGCTGGAGCAGGTCAAGACATTCATGTCCGCCGGCACATTGCTGAGAGACCCTGGCAGAAAGGCCGCCATCAACGTGAACGTGTCCGTTGCCGTCCTGTCCACTTTGCGGGTGGCCGTCAAGGAGACGCAGTCGTCCCCGGGCAACGTCACCAACCTCGCCGTGGAGAGACTCATCCAGGATATGCTCCGTGATTTTGTCATCGACGGAGACCAGTACGTCCGAAGCGTTGGATACGCCGCGGTCGCGAGACTTTGCAACGCTTGTGGCAACGCCTTCACCAACCACGAAATCAAGTACCTTGTCGACACCATTGTCAGCAACCGTGAGCCTAGCGCGCGCGCTGGTTGTGCAATGGCTCTTGGGTCGATCCAGACCAAGGTCGGCGGTATGGCGGCAGGGTATCACTTGAAGACCATTCTTGGTATCTTGATGTCTCTCTGCAACGATCCTCATCCTACCGTGCACTTCTGGGCCTTGGAAGCATTGGCGTTGGCTTCAGACGCCGCTGGCCTGAGTTTTGCTGGGTACGTGCCGAGCACGCTCGGCATGCTGGCCCAATTGTACGTCTCCGACACGCACAACCCCGAGATCTCCTCTGCCATCACCATGAACCTGGAAATGGAGCTCTCGACCACTGCTGCCATCACGCGCTGCGTCGACTCTCTCATCAATGTGTTGGGTCCTGACCTGCAAGACTCCACCAAGTCGCGCGAGCTTATCCTCAACCTCGTCGGCCAGCTTCAAGAAGAAGACGATTTGCTTGTTCAGAGGGCGACATTGAGCTGTCTCGAGCATTTGTCGCTCTATGCTCCGGGGTACATGAACTTTGAGGAATACGTCAAGGTTCTCCAGAAGTACCTCCAATCAGAATACCCCATACTGCGGGACGTTGCTGTTGATGGCCTATACAACATCATGAAGAGAAATCCAAGTGATGTCATTGGTGCTGCAGAGAAGGGATTCGAGGACCACTTGTGGCTGGTCCTCGACGACGCGCCGACACACGACGGCATTCGCAACATCCTCAGGAACTGGATGCGGCAGACGTGCCTCACGGACACTGCCCTCTGGCTCACGAGATTCCAGGGCGTCCTCAAGATGACAAGAGCCAAGGCCAAGGAGGAGTCCGTCTCTGGAAACAAGGGCTCGAGCGGCATGCCAGACTTGCAGGACGAGGAGGTCGCCGGTTTCGCCGGAACGGCCAAGGACGACCAGGACAACAAGGCCGGATCCGAAGTTGAGCCCCTTCGATGGCAAGTGACCACTTTCGCAATCAGCTGCATCAACGACATGTTTATCCTCATCGCAAAGGATGTCATGACCAATGGCGAGTCTGCCGCCCAGACGTCGCTCCAGAACAAGATTGCCGATGTCGTCCGCATGGCCTTCTCGGCGTCCACGTCTAGCGTGCTGGAGTTGCGAGTCTGGGGTCTCAAGATCATCGGCGCGGTCCTCAAGATGTTTGGCAGGACGCCCGATCCCGACTTTGAGGAGGCTATGCTCTTGGAGCAGTACCAGGCCCAGATCAGCTCGGCGTTGACACCCGCCTTCGCTGCGGACTCGTCTCCCGAGCTTGCATCTGAAGCCGTCAATGTCTGTGCTGGCTTCATCTCTACGGGAATTGTCACGGACGTGGACAGAATGGGTCGCATTCTCAAGACGTTGGTGTCTGCCCTTGAGAATTTCTCCAAGGATCACGAGAACGCCGGTATTGGCGACCTCAAGGGCCTCAGCTCCAACGCTCAAGTCATGGTCAAGATGGCCGTCTTCTCGGCCTGGGCAGAGCTGCAAGTTGCCAGTTCTGAACAGAAATACCTTCTCGACGTCCTCAAACCGCACATCGGAACCCTGACGCCGCTGTGGCTTGAGTCACTCAGAGAGTTTGCCCGCCTGCGCTTCGAGCCCGACATCTCCATGACCCTCGGCCCCCCCTCACTCTCTGGCAGTCTCGATACTATCTACGCTGCATTGAACCGCGAGACCCTACTTAAGTTCTACCAAGACTCCTGGCTGAAGCTCGTCGACGCCATTGCTAGCCTCATCGAGCAGGACAGCGAGTTCGTATTCGATGCGCTGGACGGAAAGGAGTCTGAGGGACTCAACACCAATGGCAACACCAAGGGCTCAGACATCAACTATCGTGACGAGCCCGTTGCATTCTTCTTCGTCTTGTTCGGCATCGCCTTTGAGGCTCTGGCTACACGCCCTGGACAGAGCGACTCCTTGGCCACCCAGGAGCAGAACCTGGCAATCCTGCAGGCCCTGAAGAAGATTCTGCACCCCAGCGTGTCAGGTCACGCCATCTACCGAGAGGCGATCTTCTCCGAGACCATGGATCTCCTGGACCGACTTGTCCTGACAGAAGGCCTTGACGTCCAAGGCGTGATTGTGGAGATTGCGAGAGCCCTCTGCGTCTCCCACCCCTCCGCGCGGAAGAAGGACTCGGGCGACGACGGCGACCTCTCTGACGACATCGACCAGCTTTTCGAGCTCACGCGCATCATCGTCCTCGTCCTCTCCGGCCTGCTGCCCAATCTCACGGAAGCAAACCAGCCTGTCCGCCACCAGATGACAGAGGAAGCGGTACTACTGATCCGCTCGTCTCTCAACGCCCTCGTCGACGCTGCCGAGGTCTTCCCCTCCATCATCAAGACGGACCTGCACGCCTGCATCATCCATATCCTAGCCACCATCCTGGCGACCCCGGGATGCCAGGAGGTCATTGTGCCTCAATCCCTGCCCACCCTGAAGCGCTTCGTGGTGAGCATGACCAAGTCGTCCGTTGGCAGGACAAGCGGCAACGGCCCGACGCCAACGGACGTCCAGCTGCAGGGCTGTTTGCGGCGCTTCCTCTCCATCTACCTCAACGCCCAGAAACGCGAGGCGCCCACATCGCTCACCTGCGTCAAGAACTGTTTGCTCGCGAGCACGATTCTCTTTACGGGCGGCACGAATCACTTGGCGGCAAACGATCCGCTTGTGGCAAGGTACCTCGACGAGGTCGTCGACTGCCTCACGGACCGCATGGTATGTTGTCTCCCTCCTTCTGCTGCTTCTTCCCCTCCCTCAAATGAGCTTCCGAGTGACTAACATGTACAAAAAAAACCCAGACCGCCAAGATTGCAGCAAACTGCATCAGGTCCCTGCTCTTGCAGGCCAACACGACACCGGCAGACCACACCATCGTCCGTTACCTCCTCCCGCGCCTCGTCGCTTTCGTGACCAACACGGAGCCGGAGGATCCCGAGAACGCCCGCTCCCTCATTGCGCACTCGCTCAGCCAGTACGTGGGCAACGTCCCCCGCGACCGCATCCCTGTCGCCATGGCCCTTATCCTCCCCACCTTCCTCGCGCGTGCCTCGTCCGAAGGCGAGGACGCGTACAGAGACACGAGTGCAAGATTACTGGAGCTGGCGGCCGTGGACCAGAGCGCGTTCCGGACCGTCGTGGCCAGCATGAACGACGGGCAAAAGGCATTCCTGGAGGAGGTCATCCGGTGGGGACGGCAGCAGGGCTCGTCGGAACAGGCCGCGACGAGTGCGACCGGGCAGCCCAGCATTGCGCTGAAGATGGACTTTGGTGGCTGATTTCTCTTTTTCACGACGAACCTGTGATATGAATGGACAAGCGAGGGACGAAAAGGGTGAATGCACAAGAGGAGGAAATGGAAGGTACGCATGCGGCGTTGGGTAGCATTAGAAGCGTTCCTCTGCAGCGTTGTCTCTGCAGCAGGGGGAAGTGAGAGAGCATGATGAAAAGCAGATACAGAAGCAAGATTCCCCATACCCCATTCGTGGACTTGGTTGTGTGTGTGTGTGTGTGTGTGTGTGTGTGTGTGTGTGTGTGTGTGTTGTCACACAGTGAGAAAGCAGGGGCGTTCTCGGTGAAGGCGCACTGTCCGGGGTGTGAGGCTCACCGGTTATGGACCAAGTCGCCGCAGCCCCCGTACTGCTTGCAAGAGGGAGAGGCCGAGAGGTCCAGCCCCATGCAAGTTTCCGGGCACGGCACATCGTCGTCTTGTTCTCTGGTTTTCCCGATGCCGAACACTGCGGGTTGACTCCCGGATCGAAAATCGTGTACCCGCCCCAGCTTTGCTTTTTGTCAGTTGAGAGTTCGAGGTCATGGGACTTCTTTTCGCAAAATCGGGCCGGGCGGGTATCCGTACGGGCCGGTTCAAATGCAGAAGTGATGAACGACCGCCCACCCTGCAGCAGCAGCGGCGCCCAGAGATGTAATCGCAATGTGTCGTCGCGCCAGTCGCTAATTAGACGCTGAAGCGGGGTTCGTCGCGGGTAGGTGTTGCGGGAGGCCAAACAAGTGCCCGTATCTTGTGCATGAACTCCGTCCGAGCTTTGGGAGGTGCCATGGGCGAGGGTTCAAGATGGTGGTGGTGGTAGGGCAGAGAATGGGATGATGGTGGGATGGGGTTGCTGTCGAGCCTCGGGACGAGGTCGCTGTCGGGGCAGGCAAGGTGGGAGCCCACGTTGACTTGCACCACATTGCGTCTTTATTCCTCACTCGGTAGCTGCCGCGAGAATGGATGGATTTGTGTGATGGGGGTTAGACAGACAGAGACCTCTGCCGTCACTGTGGCATCGGCCGCGGGCCCGAGGCGTCGGGGTCGGGCACGGGGCCCGTTGCTGCACCAAGCCCGCAGATCTAGTCCTCTGGGCATGCTCCGGGATTGGCTCCCGGGATAGGAGTACATGCGCGGTGATCAGGCTGCGTCTCCCTCCCGAGCATAACCTCAACACCACCCACATCAAATGTACCGGGCGTCAAATCGTGCAGCCGGTGGATGATGGATCCCCCCTCCCCGCTTCAACCGCTGCTGCAACCAACGGCTGCCAAAGTCGCTTTCATGGCCGCCCAGGGCTGTGTCCCGGCGACGGAAACCCGCGCTAGGGTCTTCTGTAATGCAGATAACCTTCCTGCTCACTTTTGCACCGCTGATTGTTTCCCTTGGCTCCACGGCGGCCTGCTTCACCGGTCTCCTTTTCAGCCTCAAGCTCAGCGCTGTGTTTGCAACCGTCTCGTATACGAAACCCGAATCGCATTCTGTCTTCAACCCGTCCAATCCCCTTTTGCAGGTTACAGACCAGGAGCCCCCTCAGGCCCCGGATATAGTAGCAACACCGCTGGTCCCGGATCCTCTGGCGATCTGTTGGTGGGAGAGCAAGGTGGAGGCTAGCCCGACTGCCGGATTTGGGACCGTTGTTTGCTTGCCATGCACGGATTCCTGAATCGTCACACCAGGCCTGGTCTGGTACCCGACCAACCGAGCGAACGGTATCCATTGACAAATGCAGCACACGTAGGGCAAACCGCATGAGTCCGAGGGCGCCCTTGCCCTTTGCTTGGCTCGCCTGGCGGCAGGCTGGTCATTGCAGTTGAACTCGTTCAAGACGTTACCGATAGAAGAACCCAGTACGTAGATGACAGGTTAGTCACAGGCCTGGCTGTGAGGTCTTGCTATCGTGTTACAAAATAGTACTAAATTTGAAGGCGTCGATGTGAGTGATAGATACAATTTCATAGATTTTGATGAACTAAATGGCAGCATTAACAGGAACAAGCTCTGGGTTTGGCAGACACTCTTCCCAAATTAGAGGTAGATAGCTGGCTTTCCCGACTAACAAGCTGTGTTGGCGCTCCCCAGGGGTATCTCAAGCGCTCGCTTCTGTTGGTACAATGACTACTTTCTTCTCCCCTCTTTCGATTCGGACCGAGACCTGCGACTAGTCCCGTCTGCAATCACCGGCCCTGCTGGCTGCTGGCTCCTCGTCTGGCGCGATGATGACGGCTCTACTGACGATAAGCTGCTGGAACCTGACGACCCTTGTCGCAATGAGCGAGACGAAGAAGGCTCAGGAGGGCGGCTAGCAGACCCCGAGGGAACCGGCGCACGCGCCTTTTCGCTTGTCTTCTTTCTGGAGCTGTCGCATTTCTTCTGCCGCGAACTTGAACTCGAGGTCGGCGTTGGAGACGCGCGGCTCGCCTGCTCCTCTGCGACACCTTCCGTAGTAAGACGCGCCTCGAGCCGACGGGAGTTCCAAGTTTTGCCGTTGAGCGACTCAGCAACGCTTCGAGCAATGTCTGCGGTTCGAAATGTTGCAAAGGCGTGTCCTCTGTTCTGACTGCCTGATCCTCGGGGGACGTCGATCCTCTGGAGCTCGGCCTTTACCGGGGTAACTCGTGCCAGGCTTTGCTTAATGAGCGCTTTGATCTGGTCTTCCGGAGTGCTGTGTCCTATCCGTCTAATTATGATTCGTCTATGTTCAACAGAGACAGCCTGGCTGGGTTGGTTGGTTGGAGCCGCGGTGCTCGGAAAGAATCCACTGTTGGACACGTACGCAGGGTATTCAGGGCACCATGCTCCCTGTATCTGAGTGCCATCATACCCCTGGCTGAAGTGTCCGAGGTCCGTTGGAACCTGCTGCAAGTCAGAAACTGTAGATTGGCGCCATGTAGTACTAGGCTCTCACTTGTTGTTCAAACGATGATGCTTCTGAGGATGCGTAAGAGTATGGTGAGGGTTGATGGTCGATTTGCGCAGAGAATGGTGCAGGGGTTGGTTGGCGAGACCTCACGGTACCGTTCACTGGAATCGCGTTCTCGTCATTGTGCACTTCCTTGACGACGATTGCACTCGTCATGTTGCTGTCATCGTAGATGATGCGTCTGCCGTTGAACACTCCATCCTTCAAACGATCTGAGCGCGTGTTAGCAGGTCCTGGACACGCTTCGATTTGGCCACCTACCACATGCACGATAAAAATTGTATGGCCCCTTGACCCTGATCCAGCCCGAGGTGGGGTGGTAGAGTTGAATGTAGTCGACTTCACAGTCGCGGCTAAGCCATTCCTTAAGCGCCTGCCATCTTGTGTCGAATGGTAACTAGGCCGACTGTCAGAGGGCCAGAAGGCAGAGCTCGTGTTGGTGAAACACACATTGCAAATCGGGATGTAGAAATTTCCTGTCTCGGGACCCGGAGGGAGCTGTCCAACTTGCATGGTGACGTGTTGAGACGGGAATCCGCTCCGAACAAAGACTTTGTCCAACAAGTAAGCCCAATGGCTCAGTCGGACCAGAATTTCGTGCGACGGCTGGGAACCAAGACGAAACAGGGGATCTCATGTATGACAAGATCCGGCGATGAACCAAGACGATCTTGGCCAACCGTGAGATGTCCAGGGTAGGCAGGAATTGAAACAATGAATCGAGGTTGCAGACAAAGAACAATGGAAATCCTTTTATATTCTGGGGAAGTTTGTCAAGCTGGCCGGACCTCCAATGTCGGTCTTCTATGCGGCAATGCTGTCAGTGCTGCTGCTGTTTGACCAATAAGTAGCCCCTGCCATCCTTTGCGTCGACGATGAGGAGCTTGCCGTGGAGACATCCATGATTTTGGCTGGAACCCGTCCTTGGCGGCGAACCCACTCCAGATAAACGTCCGCACAGGTACCCAAGCTGTCTCGAGGCAACTTCCGCAAGTCATTGTACTGCTCCGTCTCGGGTGAAGCTGGCTGATTTGACGGACAGACCACGCCTATTTTGTACCAAGTACCCACATTGAGTGACCAAAGGGATCGTGACGAGAGAGGAAACTATCCATCGTGGATGAAGAGTCCCTGATCTTGTGGGGTCGTCTGGTGCAGTTTGCTTCTCGCTGTGACCTGTCACCCGCAGATATTGTTGGTGCGCGTAAGCAGATTAACGTTCAATATCGCCTGATCCAATCTTGCGCCACGTTCCTGGTGTTTGGGTGACATTGGTGGCAGAGGAAGCTTCGAAGCGTCAAGTTGAAGGTACTTGAAGGGGGTGATGGGCATCCGACATCTTCGAGGAGAGCTCTCGTCCAAGTCCCAAAGATAGCCCGCGATAGTGGGTTGCATTCATCTTCGATTCGACCGGGGGTTGGGCTGCCGTGTGCCAGCTATTGCCAGGGTCTCGCGCGGCAGCTATTTGGAGGGGGCGACAGGGGTCCGGCGGCACCCAAAATGGCGGCCGGTACCTTGGCTAGCTGAGCCTGTCGTCAGAGCTGATGACCACTAATCCCGCCCTTGATTCCGACGGAGCTGATTGAAGGTTTGTTCAATACTGCTGAAGAGCAATAGAGCTGAGTCTAGGCATCTGCGCAATGCTGATTTGTGCGGGCAAGGACCTGCGTTTCGACGACCATCTTTAAGGTTGCCAAAAGCAACGAGGATTTCATGCGAGCTCTTGTTGGTTGGGAAGGCCCTGCGGATGGTGGTCACCCGGAGTCATTCTCAGGCGCCGCGCGATCCTGTCTCAACTTGAAAATGCAGCCCCAAGATCCTCTGGACAATTCAGCGGTGAGCAAAGCGCTGGCCGACCTCACCCGGCAGGTCACTCGGTGTTCGCCCTCCCCTTATACCCACTGCGAGGGGATGCAGTGTCAGTCGGCGACTTTTGGCGTTTCCCCAATGGATCTCGTGCAGGATTTGGTTGCGAGGCAATGGTCCAAGCTGAACAGCACCCCCAGAAGACGCCAATCCACGGATCTTAGTGGCCATGCATCCGATTGCTCTCCCGGCTGCAATGATCTATACACGCGGGTGGTTGGAAACCAATCACGACCGCCTAGTTGGTTCATGAAAATACCAAAGTCTTGGCTTGGCCACTTGGTTGGACTGAGACTCTGCGTATCCGCAGCTGGCTCGGACCCGAGGTTGTGGCCAACGAGCGATCGATCAAATCTTCTTGAAAGCGAAGGTGTCGTCCACTTCTGACATGTCTAAATTGGACAAGTCCTCGTCGAACTCAGCGAACGCAGTTGGGTCCAGCTGCGTTTCGTCCTTCCCGGTCGTCATTGTCAAGTCACTGCGCTGTGCGTCTTGCCAAGGAGCTCCGCACGTGTCGGATTCGGACATGGAGACCATGAGGCGATGCTTTGTATCCCCAATCAGAAGCACGGCAGAGTCACCCGCCCAATTGAGCCAGGACACCTGCGATTTGCCGAATAACTTTGCGTCGGGTAGCTGTGCTGCAAAGTCAATTGTCTTGGGTCCATCAGATAAGGGATCCCAGGTGAACACCAGGCCGTCGTAGCCATCGCCCTCGCAAGTGATGGAGAGCAGCTCGCGCTGCGTTGGGTGCCAGGTCAACGCCGAAATGCTGCCGTGGAAGACGAGGACGGCTCGAAGCTCCGATGACAAGATGTCCCAGACCCAAACCGTGCTCGGCCAGTCTTCCAAGGCTGTGGCTAGAAGAGTCGACGAGGCATCAAAGACGGCCAAGGTACGGCTTGGCTTGGTCTCGACGCTTCCACCACTCACTCGGCCCGGAGCAGAGACCGATTGTGTGGCCTTTACGAATGTGTGAGCCGAGCCTAGTTGGGCATCGCCGATTTGTTCTTGCCATATCTACCAATCTTCATTAGCCTGCGAAGTTGCAAGTTCGAATCCTGCGTCACCCACCTGAACAGTATTCTTCGGAACGATGGCTGCAGAATGCTCAAGCCTCATTGATGCAGTCGCTGGCTTGGTGTCCAAGATGCAGACATTTCGGGTGTGGTCGCACACGGCAATGCGAGCACCATCTGGGCTGACTTGGCACACCTTTACCCCCGCGCCCAGATCGAAGTGCTTCTCCTCAGGCTCGAAGGCAGACGGTCCAGACCATGTGTTGAGGAGGTGCCCATCTGCAGTGTAAAACAAGACTTTGTGGCCTTGGGCTGCAGACTCCCACATTATAAGCCGGCGGCCATCTGGAGTCCAGGTCAAGCCTTGCGCGTCGACCGTCTCTGGGTGCCAAGATCTCTGAACCCCTCTCGTTGTGGGATGGTGAATGCTGACAATGTCTTTTCCAGAGACGCGGGTCAACAGAGCCAAGTGGCCCGAACCAGGTCGAAGAGCGAATCCTCGGGGCGCCGATGTCGGTTGATGAAACTTGGGGCTGCCGATCTCGACTGCTCTCGATGTCGTGAGGTCGAACACAGAAAACTTCAGACCAAAGGAAGAGCACATGAGGATTTCACTGTCCGAGGCGCCGAACTGAACAAAGGTGGGTTTGAAGTTTGGTGAAGCAGGGTTGCGGACGACGGCACGATAGCCGGACTCGAGGGCCGAGTAGACATGGATGGATTCGGCAAAGCTGACGAGAACACGACGCGATGACGGAGACCACAGAAAGGCGTTTGCTGGGCCGAGTTTTGAAGGCAGCCTGACGCTGTGAGTTGTCTCCAAAGTCTCGATGGACCGGAAGCTGATGCTGCCAGTAGTAAGGGTTGCGATCAGAGTTCCATCAGGACTTGCGACGCAATGAGGCGATGCTACCGGAAGTCGTGTCAGCAACAAGTGAGGCACGCCTTTGGGCCGACTTACATTTGAAGATCCTGGAGAAGTGCATGCTGCATGGCACTCACGCGTTAGCGTTGAGGTGTCGTCGATATGGAGTGGTGATGTTCGGAAGTCAGGGGGTTCGCTTTTCCTAGGATGGAAAGGCCTGAGACAGGTAGAGACAAGGGAGGTGAGATTCGCGAATGGTGGAAGCTTCTTTTTTCTCAAGTTGAAGAATCCGGCATGTGAAGTGTCTGGGGTCTCGGTGGAGTCTTGAAGAAAAGCCGGTGCCGCATGGAACGGAAGGAAACATCGTCGCCAACGTTGTTTACCTTGTTTCCTATCCGAGACTAGTGCGGGGCTCCGCCCTCCTCTGTTTGGTCGCCGGGCAGCTATCAGCACGGTCCACTAAGAGGTGCGAGCAGGACCGCTAGGGGCTGGCAGCTGCCCAATCAGAGCGACGGTAATTTGGCAACCCACTGGCAGGTGCAAGGGAAGACTGCAGGGCCGACGGGAACCGCCCGTTCATACTCTGTAGGTACTTAGGCCGGAGGACCGCTGGCTTTCGCTCAACTCCGCCAAACCCGGTGACCTGTGCGTCGGTCCTTCAGCAATCAGCAGCAGTTCCCCTCCATCCCCCGCCTTCCTCTCAGTGTCGAATGCGCCCTTAACTCAAGTAGGCTCGAAACTCGGTCAAATAGGTAATCGCCACGCCAATGCTGACTCACCTTGGTCACATATCTCAAACCTCGGAGAAGGCGCTCTCATTGCTCTGATAGCATATCAATCGAGCACCCCCAGCTCCAGCAAAGTTGCCATCTTTCAAGACATCTTCTTACGTACTTCCTCGCCGTGCTGAATGTCATATCAGTGATGGATCGCGCAGCGTGAAGGACGCCTAGCCACAGCCATTTCCTTCCTCTCTGTCTTCCTGCGTCCCTTTCCTACATCCATTCTGTCCGACTCATAGCATCCCTCAAGGCCGCCACCATGAGACACAGCATGCTGCCTCGCACGGCGCTGCGCAGCGGGCGCATGCCACGGAATAGCAGGTCGCAGTTGGTGTGGACGACGCAGGCGCGGTGTCTGAATGGGGCCGCTGCAGCTCAGGTCACACCGAACACCCAACGGCAACCACTATCACGCCGCGAACTCATAAAGGATGCGAAACCCTTCTCCGATTTTCTCACCGATGACTTTCACCGGCAGCACGACTACCTCCGCATCTCCGTTACGGAACGCTGTAACCTCCGGTGCGTGTACTGCATGCCAGAAGAAGGGGTGCCGCTATCGCCGACGAGGGAACTCTTGACGACCCCCGAGATTGTACTGCTGTCCTCCGTTTTTGTGTCACAAGGAGTCTCCAAGATCCGGCTGACGGGGGGAGAGCCGACGGTGCGGCGAGATATCGTGCCGCTCATGCACCAGATCGGGGCGTTGAGGCCCCACGGACTGAAGGAGCTATGCCTCACCACCAACGGCTTATCACTGCATCGAAAGCTTGACTCCATGGTGGAGGCCGGTCTCACTGGCGTCAATTTGAGTCTCGATACTCTGGATCCGCACATGTTCACTATCATGACCAGGAGGAACGGGTTTGACGCCGTCAAAAAGAGCATCGACCGGATCTTTGAGCTCAACAAGCACGGCGCGGGCATCAAGTTCAAGATCAACTGCGTAGTCATGCGCGGCCGCAACGACCACGAGATTGTCCCCTTTGTCGAGATGACACGGGAAAAGGACGTCGAGGTGCGCTTCATCGAGTACATGCCCTTTGACGGCAACAAGTGGAACCAGGGCAAGATGCTGGGCTATGCCGAGATGCTGGACATGATCAGGGAAAAGTTCCCCTCGCTGGAGAAGGTAAAGGACCACAAGAACGACACGAGCAAGACCTGGCGCATACCGGGACACGCTGGAAAGATAGGATTCATCACGAGCATGACGCACAACTTTTGCGGCACCTGTAACCGACTGCGCATTACCAGCGACGGAAACCTCAAAGTTTGTCTCTTTGGCAACACCGAGGTCTCGCTGCGGGACATTCTGCGCAAGTCGAACAACGGCGACCCCATTGACGAAAAGGCATTCGAGGCAATGAAGCAGATCGAGATGGACCGTCGGCAGGGGCTGGCAGACGCCGAGAAGCCGCTGGGTACGGCGTTTAACGAGGCAGAGCTTCTCGACGTCATTGGCACGGCGGTCAAGAGGAAGAAGGAGAAGCACGCCGGCATTGGAGAGCTGGAGCACATGAAGAACAGGCCGATGATCTTGATAGGTGGGTAACGGCCTTCCCATCATCTTTCGGAGGGGAGTTTTGTTTGCATGAAACGGCGTTGTATACCACGGCTGGGCGCGGCTTTTACGGGGCTCATGAATCAACCGATGTACATGACGGGAGACTGAATATAGCTGTCCCTTAGATTCTCAACCGCTTCCGTCTCTTTCAGCTCGTGCGCCTGAGATGTCCGACTTGATTGGGCCCAGGTCTTTTGTTCATTCGCGTCCCCGAGGCGTCCCAAGAGTACCAACCCACCTGCTCGTCCCGACAACGTACGCCCACCAGGCCCGCCTCTTCTCCTCCACGCCGTTGCGACGGGGCTCACGCTCACCGGAAGACGATGCCGCTGCCCCTCAGGATCCCACCTTGACCCACGTGTCCCCAACCGGCTCGGCGCGCATGGTCTCCATCTCGTCCAAGGCCCCGACCGCCCGCGTCGCCAAGGCAGTCTGCACCGTGACCTTTTCCACGCCGACGGCCCTCCGCCTCGTGCGCGCGAGCCAGATGAAGAAGGGCGACGTCCTCGGCGTGGCGCGCGTCGCGGGCATCATGGCCGCCAAGCGCACGCCGGACATCATCCCGCTGTGCCACCCGATCCTGCTCTCGCACGTCGGCGTCGAGCTGGAGCCCGCATCCGAGCGCGAGGACGAGACGGTGCTGAACGTCGAGGCGACGGTCACCTGCGACGGCAAGACGGGCGTCGAGATGGAGGCCCTGACTGCTGCTTCGGCGGCGGCGTTGACCGTGTACGACATGTGCAAGGCGGTGGACAAGGGCATGGTCATTGGGGGGTTGAGGGTTGTGTTGAAGGACGGGGGGAAGAGTGGGCGGTGGGAGATGCCGTGATGTGGCTCACAGCTGACACACGAAAACAATCATTCTAGATCTGAATTGGAACAACTAAGATTATCCCACGTCTCTCATTCGGGTATTCGCACACATTTCTACAGTCGTGTATGTACAGAGCTCTATCAAGCCTCCGTCTTCAGCTCCTTTGCGATTCCCGCCGCGATCCAGTCGGCAATGGCCATGTTGGTAATCATCGGGTTGACGCCGCTGGCGCTTGGGAACACGCTCGCATCCGCCACGAACAGGTTCTCTGTGCCCCAGACGTGTCCCTTGGGCCCTACAACACCCTCGTCCTCATTCGGCGCCATCCTGCACGTCCCCATCTGGTGCGCAGATGAGAAGATGGCCACGGGCGGCGCGTTGCCCACCTTTCTGACCTCCTCGAGCCAAGCGTTGAACTTGGGGTCGTTGACGCCGTCGAGCGTGCCGTCGTGTTCCAGTCCGTTCTCGTGGGAGGACGATGAGAGGTCGGCCATGGACTTCTCGGGCGGCTCGGCGTGGTCTTCCTTGACGAAAGGCGCAAGACCGGGGAAGAAGGCGTGAATCTCAGACGCGCCTTCGACGTAGCAGATCTTGGCGAGGGCGATGACACCCTCGAGGGTGTTGGCGCGGTCAAAGTCCGACACTACGTAGTCGATGCGCGGCCGGCCGGTGATGGGATCCGGGTACACGCGGCCCGGATCGCGGTCGCGGGTCAAGGAGATGAAGGCGCCAAAGTGGCGGAAGCGAAGTTCGGCCATCTTCGCGGCGAGCCCGCTCTGCCAAGGCATGCTTGAGAGAATCGCGTAGGGCTGCAGGCGTGTCAGTAACCGTTCAGGGAGGATGCCGGAATACGTACGATCATGCAGGTTGGTTCGAGCTTCACACCATGGCCTGCTTTGTCCAGATCTTCGAATGTGGAGCAGTAGCTTGTGATGATGCCACCTGCGCATGTCAGTCTTCTGCGTACGCTTTGGCGTGATTGCGACCTACCCTCCCATGGCTTCGCATCCTCCTTCCAATATCCGCCGACAAAATTGCAGGGGTGTACGTAGAGGTTGCGCCCAATGTGTCGGTTCTAGTACCTGGTCAGCAGAATAGACTTAACCGTGAGAAACCGCGACTCACTGTGAGACCACTCCTCAGCAACACGAGAGGACTCGACACAGAGCCGGCAGACATGATGACCTTCTTGGCTTTGATGATGACCTGCCTCGTGGTCCTCTGCTCCACCGGCGTGCTCACGTTTCCGTTAGAATCCCTCGAGATCCACTTTCCGACGACACCGGTCGCACGCTTCGAGCCTGTGGTCTCGTCGAAAGTGACCTTCTCGACCTCAAATCCTTCAATGAACTTGGCTCCTGAAGCCGCCGCCGCCGGAAGCCAGCTGACGGTGGGACCCTGCTTCTCCGTCGATCCACAGCCGAGATGGCACTGGCCGCAGTAGTGCTCCGCGCCGCCGGTGTTCTGCGGGGCTGTGGCCGCGTGCCACCCGAGCTTCCGGGACCCGTCAAGCAGCACCTTGTTGCGGTGGTTGTGCTTGATCTTGTCGGCGCTAACGCCCATGAAATCGCATACCTTGTCCAACGAGTTTTGGAACTGCGGCGAGGTGAAGAAGGGCAGGCCGCGCTGCTCAGACCACTCCTTTCTCACAAAGCCCTGAGTCTGCAAGCTAACGCTCCAGTTGACGGTGCCGCCACCTCCCCAGCAGCTGCCGGCAACCATGTTGAGGCAGTTGTCATCGCTGGTGATGAAGCCGCCGTTCTCGTACAGGTACTGACACCCCGTGTCCTGAGTCATGGGCAGCTGCGAGGGCGGGAAATAGTATGACTTGTCTACGACGAGCACCTTGTGGCCCGCCTCAGACAGGACCTTGGCAGCGACGGCGCCTCCGCAGCCAGAGCCAACAATGACGACGTCGGTCTCGACAATGGCCGGTGAGGCTGACGACTCGAACTGCATGAAATTGAAGTCGAAGCCCTCGCCGTGCGTCTGGAAATCAGGCATGTCGGTGTAGTCAGTCAATTCTCTGAACAGGGGGCTGGTCTGCACGGCGCACTTCTGGGCCAGCAGACATAGTGACTTTGACAAGACGCGGATAGTCGGCACTCTGGAGGTCTGCCACGCCTTGAGCATCCTCTCACGAACGTAGAGCGGTTGCTGGTTGGCCGGGGTCCAGTACCCCGTGAGAAACCATGTACCGGTGCGGGTTCTGTCATTTGGTCAGCCCCATTCGTGTCTTCTCAATCATCCATGGTAGGACGGGTGGCTCGCTACATACCCCAACGCGCCCATTGCACCACCCAGCGTTTTCTGGGCAGCACTAGGCAGCGCGGCCAGGGTTCTCGTGACGCTCTCGACGAACTTGGGTTCCTTCGCGGGACAGTGTGCTAGGTACTCCTGAAACTTCTCCTCTGACGGGGGGTTCTTCATAGTATTCTGGACCAGCTGGAGAGCCTGCGCATATTCGGCCTCAGACACTCGGACCTGGTTCGTTTTGTCTGAGAGGGTCGCGGGCCGCGCGATGGACGGCAACGCCGCCTCGAGCAAGGAAAACAGAACGCTCCATTGCGTCTCGTTCCAAAAGTCAGAGGTCGGCAGCACCGGAAGCTCAAGCTTGGAGACCTCTTCCGGCAAACCCATCGTGAGCAAGTACGGAAGTTGTTGTTGATACGGGATGGCGAGAGGCGTTTGGCGGTACACACGGATACAACGGTAAAGAGACCTATCGATTGAGGGGGTTGACGTGCAGTAGAGTTACAAACGATCGGGTGAGGGGGAGCTTGGGATAAGGTATACTTTCAGTGACATGAGCGAGGGAAAGCACCTCGGAAGCTCATGATCGACTGATGCTGGGCTGTGTGGGAGCAAAGAGACGTCGTTGGTTGCCCCCTGCTGCTCGCATGGTGGTCCTGCAGGGGTGCGTGTTTCCCATGCATGCGGGGTCTGTGCAAAGAGGCGTCCAGCCTCCATTTTCATCGCGTCTGCTTGCTTGCTTCTCCCTGCCGAAATGCCTAGGCCCAATCCGGGATGCCTGCAAGAGGTCAAAGAGCTTTGCCATCGCTAGATTTGACGGGTCACTCTAGAACCCATCCTAGCTTCCAAATGACTTTGATTGTCTTGGAGTTCGAGCCGTCTGCACAAACACTTCACACCAACATTAGGTGACGGAGCTGTCAGAACAGATATGCAGGCGGGGTGCAGCAATGGCGCGGCACTTGGGTGCATGCAACCTCACGGCAGGTTGTTAGTGCGAGTAAGAGAAGCTGAGTCGAGCTGATCGTGCGAGGAACGGAGCCGGAGCCGGCTTGAGTGGGAGGCCGAGAGCCCAGCTAATGAGACAGAGAGAGCACCTTAATGCGATCAACAAGCTGCACCACAGGTACTGAAGTGAAATACCGGACGCCCGACGCGGGACCGGCCGACTGCTGAAGGGCTGAACTGACTAGAGCGCGGCTGCAACGCATGTTTGCTGGTGTCTTGGAAGAACGCATTGGTTTCAAAACGACACAGCCGCGCACCTGGGAGCCGGACTGTCGGGAATCTGACTCCGGACAACCTTCAATGGGCAGATCTGGCAGTGGTTCGAGGTTGCGCCAACAGGAAGATGCCGGGTCAGCTGTAGGTGCCGATCGTACGTTGCTATGCCTGTGGTGAGATTCAAGATCCTGTGGGGCAGATCGATGATGCAAGTTGATGAGCCGGGGAGGGCTCAGCCTCGGCTCGCATGAACAGTACAGAACTGGAAATGCTCATGATTCTACAATGGTCCGTCAGTCGAGCCTGCTCGTCTGTTGCTTGATATGTGCTTCATCGAAACCATGAGCAACATTCGATGCCGCAGCCTTCCACGCAACTTTGCTGGCCGTTGGAAGCTTCCGGGCGCTACATGAAGTCCATTCTCAGTTCGTCTCACCCGGAGGCGCAGACTTCGTGTCCTGGGTCCAGCACATGGCGCAACTACTCATCCCGGCCAGGTCGGCGGTCTCCGTGGCTGACAGCTCGCTAGCGAGCCGGCGCCATGGTCAATCTCGCCGGACACTAGGCATTGGGTCCGGGCCGGCGACGGGGCCGCTGGGACAGCCTAGACCAGGGGCTCGGGTCTGTCACTCGGTAGCGCATCGGCTTGCCGTCCAGCGTCGCCAAGGGGCCGGCAAAACCGGGCGAGCGGACCATCCAGGACATGGCAGGCAAGCAGAAGCAAGCCCGACGGCGGCAGGGTGTCTGTGGCCAAATGCCAGATTGGCTTCCCCTCTAACGGACTGCAGTCAGCAGACGTCCAGTGGAATTTTTCAGGGTCCAATGGCGGGTCCAGCATCCGTCTACAGGGGGCGCGGGGTGTCATCTGGCGATGGGCGGTCTGGCGGCCAAGAGCGTTCAAAACGGAAGTTGGGGCCGCGTTTGCCTCTGAAGGCCGAATTTGTTGGGAAAATCGTCAAGAGTGTCTGAAAAATGCATGTGAGAGTCGATCTGCGCAGAAAATTGTTGACCGTTCTGCGAGAACACGCGCAAGCTCCTTCCTGGTAGTATCCGTTTTCCAGGTTGGCGGTTGCGAACATCGGAGTTTGCGGGGTGGTAGGTTTTCGGCGGTGCACTGCACGACTTGAACATGTCGCCCATTTGGAGTCGAATGTCTGGTTGGGCGCAGCTGTTGAGGGGGCCACCCAGGTGTGTCTTTGTATGATGCCATGCCGACTAAGGAACGTGGAAGACGGGAGAGGCGCTTCAATGCCGTCCGATGCGTTCCGGCCGAGTCTAATGGACCAAGTCCGACTTGACGGCCGTCATCAATGGCATGATGGCAAACCGCGTAGAGAAGCCTGCTTCGAAACCCGGTCGCTCACATGCTTATCGGAGCGTCTGAAGCGATTTCGTGATGCTGGATAAGAGGGTCCTCCCGCAAAAGGCCTGCAATCAAGAGAGAAAAATCTGTGATACGAAGCAGGAAGATGGACAGAATCGGGGATAGCGCTCCCCAACAAAATGGACGCAGGTCGGGTAGCCAGGGCCCACGGCGGATGGACTGTCGATAGTTTGCAACGTGAGCTACTTCATGCGCGTTAGCCTGCAGAACGACATCTGTGTGAGGGCACTAGCATTTCCTCCGTAAAGATACACGACCCGCACGCGAGGATCCCACCAGGAACCAGGGGCTTTATTCGCCCAGGCTGAGCTTCCAGAAGGGATTGGGTGACAACGGGTCCCTGGCAGCCGACGTCTCTCCCGAATGCGTGTTGCGCGCCGTTGCAAGTGCGTCGCTTGTGCTTGACAATTTTTTCCCCTTTGCTTAAGTGACAAGCCGGAGCTCCCGACGGGCAGTTCGTGTCAGGCATATAGTACACAGGAGAATCTCATCACGATCTCGTGGGTGTCGCATAATGTCGGAAGAAGCGTGACCAGAGAGCACTGACTGGCCTGGACTGCGGGCTGGTGGTGCAGGTTCGTGGCCAAACAATGGCCTTGTCGACGATTGGGCCGAACAGATGCTCCTAGTGTATGTAGCCTGTAGGTGCCTTGGTTGGAAGCAGCATATCCTTTCCTGCGGCAAGCGGCTCCCGAATTAGAGTTGGAGCTGGTGACCAAAGCTTTGTTGGCGCCTCGTTCTCGTGGAACAGCGAGGGCCACATCTCAAGAAGAAGCACCCATGTCGCAGCTGGTCCAACCGTTTCAGTCAGCAAATTGGCAGCCGCGCAAAGGTAATATCACTTGAACGGTGCCGATGCTGATGTTGGCAACTTTGCTCCGAGGCAAGCCTGAAGTTGACTCTTGGTGTTGCTCGGGCCCTGTTGCGAAATGTTGCCCCAGACGGACAGGGTAAAAACGATCCATGATTCCTTGCAAGAAAAAAAGCAAGAGAGCAAGGATGATGTCGAGAGCCGAGGCAAGTGAGGTTCAGGGAGTCGATCTTGGGTTCAAGTTGGATCCGTCTGCCCCAAGGGCCCCTGTTGTTGGAGGCTTGGACTCCCATCCGTCAACAGCAACGGCGTCTGGAAGGCGGCGCGGCGCCCTTCGTCCGGAGTCTCAGTATCCGGAGGCGTAGGTTGGCGGTGGTGTTAATCATGTGCTTGCTCAACAATCGTCAGCCAGGACAAGGTATCCGTCTCTGCATGTTGCTTGGCGGACCACTCCCATCGAATGGCGGGGCCGCTGTTCAGTGGTGGAATCCACAGAGAGTAGCACCTCCCGCGGCCACCCGACAAGGCGGGCAAGCGCGCACGAGGGACTTGCGGCATCAGGAAGGCGATGTGCTGCTGCTCTTTCCTGTTGTTGGTGGTTTACATTGTAAGGTAGGTACTACGGTAAGGTAGCTCTTCCCCTTACATGGGCAGTCACTGTGAGGAAACAAAAGTACGTACCGTACCATTCGTCCCTTAGTTTGGACTGATACCTACCCATCTGGTAAGGACTTTCCCATGGCATTGAGACGGTACAAGCACCTTCTCACTGCATAGCACGCAGCGAGATGCAGCATTTACGGATGCCCAGCTTGCCTTTGCCTCCGCCTCTGCCCTGCCGCGGCGTGCTTGACATGCTTGACATCAGCCCGTTGCGCTCCGACCCCAGCATTAAATATGACTAAAGTCTGAGCAGCAGACTGAGGTATCTTGTCCCATCATGTCCACTTTCCTCGTCGTCACCGCATCCACGCCAAAAAAAACCAATCAAGCTAGAGGTAGGTAGTAGCAGTGCAGATACCTACGTGACGAGGAGGGGAGGAGCCGCCTGGCCTGGCCTAACGTAAGGTAGGTGAGGTAGCACACCCATCATATCCACGTCAAGAATTGCAAGGTCTGCACACTCCAAGCACATCCCATCCATCTTGATCCCCGTCGCCGTCCCCGTCCATGCCCACACACCACACGCACTCACACGCCCAGCAGTTGTTGTCCCAACTCCAGCTCAAGCTCCAGTGTTCCAGCTCCGGTCCAGAAAACCACTCTTCCCCTTCCCCATATTAAGACCTCGAGGATCCCCTCGCTTGGACCTTGCTGCTTGTTCTGCTTCTTCTTCCTCCCCATTCTCCTCTTCTCTCTCTGGAAGACTCTCCATCTGCAACTGTGACAGACAGAGCACCATCTGCGCCATTGGGTCAGCAAGATCTTGTCTGCGAAAGAACTTCAACCTGCTTGAACAGAGCTCTTCCACTCCTCCTTTTTGGTTTGAATTCACCCACGTCTCCCACTGTCACCGAGTCGGATCGACGTCGGAGCCTCACATTCCACCATCCAACAGCTCTGCAGCGGTCGCGTGCTGAGATACCTTCCTCTCAAAACGAGCTCCTGTCTCATTTGCTGAGACACGATTCAGAATCCCCAACGCCCGAGCGAACAGCGGGACCACCACTTCTTTTTTTTGGACCGAGGCTCGCAATTGGTCAATCCCCCACCATGGCCGGCGTCACCTTGCTCAGCGAGCTCCCGTCCCCCTCGCTCTTCCAGTTCCCTCCGGACGGCGCCCACATGGCAATCCCCCCGCCGCTCCCGGGTTCCATGGCCGCCGCACCCCCCTTCGAGATCCCCGACCACATCTTCTCCGCCGCCCTCGACCCCAAGGTGCCCATCACCATTGCCGCCCTCTACGCCGTCACCATCAAGCTGTTGAACAAGTACAACCAGTCCACTGGTCGCAAGCCCTGGGCAATC